ACTTCAACTTGTGCGCCTCATTCTCCGTGTGAACCACTGGATGTGGTTAGACAAATACTCAAATTTGGCTGCCTTGTAGCCTCCTGCTGTCTGTGGGCGAAGCAAAATGTTGTCTCACCTTCGTCACTTGTCTGATCATTGTTAAATGATAATCCCTCCAGCTATTTTACTTCCTACTTACTTTGTTCAAAGAAAAAGAAGTGGAAGCTGTATAGGATGGTAGGATGCTGGCTGGGGTGAAGAAAGTCAGGAGAAAAGAGAAATCTTATTAGAACATGGCAGCAGAGGTTTTGCCAAGAGAACCTCATCGGAGATTCCTACAGCAGATCAAGGGACCGGACCAAACTTGGAAAAGATGGAACATTGACAAAATTAGCAACTCACCGAGGCAACAGATATTAATTCGAGTTGTCTTCAAGAGGTTCCCTTCAAAACGGAACAAAAGAGGTGATCTATATTTAACTTGGCATTAAACATGTTCACATGGACAACGTTCAGAATGAAACCTCCACAAGGACGATGAAGGTACAGATTTTGACCCATTCATTAGCCTTGATGAAGAGAACCTCACAAATGTCATCAAATAACTCCACCAATATTTACCGTCCCTTTCTGCCGCAGATTTTTCCGACTTGACCAATCGAGGATCACAAAGCCCATGTTGTTCACTCGAAGAAAGGCGCCAGCAAATGCAACACTAACAGGATTCTCTACCAGCCTCTCCGTATGAGAAGCCGAAGATCATTTACATCGTTGGTGGATAGACAGGCATGCATCATTGGACCACCATAAAGTGTAGAATTTAGGCGGAATGAGATGATTGGAGAAGTAAGGAATCATGGTTGACTATGGTCTGTTCGTTTCACCTATGGTTGTTGATACGTGTACTGTCCGTTGCAACTCACTCCACAGGCATGGTATCTTGCTACGGAGCAAACAGCTTTGTTGTAAACTTGGATTCTTTCGAACAAGGCAAAAAACACATGTGAAGACAAATGAAATCGCGAAGATGAAGGGTGAAGCTTCCAAGTCATCCCGGAGATGTTATCTCCGTTCGTGGTTGCATCGGATGCCATGGAACTTCACCTGCAGGCTTTTGCTGCCACTAGACAGCCAAGGGTTGACCCTGGGCTATCAAGGGGGAGGGGACCAAGCCCTACAAGCATTATTGCATTTCTCGTCCGAATGTTACCGTATTCTGTTTGTTGCTGCCACCTTCATAGACTGGCCACGAGCAGAACCTGTAACTGTACCGTTGTCGAATGGTCATGGTTGTTAGCATGAACTCATGAATCAGCAAACAACCATAGGAGGTCAAATGAATGTTCTACACTCTAAGAATAATATCACATCTTCCATTTCACAATAAAGTGTGATATTTTTGACAATGTCACATTTTCAAAATTTGTGCATATGTAATATTATAAAAAAAGTAATTAAAAATTCAAGATTAAATTACAATATTAAAAAAAAATAACGAATGTAAGACTTCAACACTTTTGAATGTAAAATATAATTCAAAACGATGAATGATAACAAGAACACATCATAATGTATCATTGAGATCCGGTAGAGAACTCTAGTTAGAAACAAAGAAATTTATAATATCACATTGTTTTAGTAATGTTCAATGTCCAACATCAAATCTAATGAGTTTGTCATGGATTTTTTCCATTCTTAATAATTATTGAGTGTTGAAATTCTGAGAACTTTGGCTAGCCATAAAATTCAAAAGATACTTAGCATATTTCTCTGCCTCGTTTAGCTTTCGTTCTCTGAATAACATTTCATTTATCACAGGGGCGGGTCATGACCTTTTTGCTACTACAATCTATCCATCCAACTGTCACATGCAATCAATCATACTTGATATTATCACACTTACATTACAGATTTTGGAAAAAAATAATGACATTATCAAAAGTGATAATAACGAAGAAATTTTACACTATTAAAATCCATTTCAAACTTTTAGGTGACAATACCAAGGTGTTATATTAACAAGTATGACATTATCAAGGTTCGATTTTCTTTCGTTGTATGAAGAGGCCGCTGCAGAATGTGAGACTACGATCACCCATCCTTGTTACGGGAGATAGAAGCTAACTCATTCACAGTGTTTTGTGTGCAAGTCAGACATGGGGCGATGAATATGACCATGAGTCTTGGTTCCACAAAAAATATAGAACAAATTTCGCTTTGGAGGTATGACATGTACTCTCATCTTTTTCATCATTAACCATGGAATCCATCACAAGTCTACCCTTTATTTGATGGTTCTAAAGTGTTAATCTGATGTACATTCATTGCTTGTATGGATCTGGCTATTCGATGGTACTAAAGTGTTAATCTGATGTACATTCATTGCTTGTATGGATCTGGCTATTCCTAGTTCATGTTCTTCTTCAAAACAATATACAAGATGGTGGATCTTGTCTTGATTATGCTTCGTGTTTTTTCATCTGTATCACTTACTCTCTTCTACAATGATGAGGTTGTGCCTTGGCTTGATACATCTACAAAGGATTTACGTAATTTTTCTCCAGTAACTACTTTCCAATCTTGCATGTGTTGTCGTAAATGCTAAACCACCCAAAGGGCATGGAAATGTTTAACATGATGTCATTTTCATTATGATGTTTGCAATGATGCATGAGGTATGAATAACTCATGTAGAGTGTTGATCTGATCTAAAATCTACTAGAAATACTAGAAATGAAACCAAGTTTCTGACGGAGACACGATGATTGTCGATATAGTTTTCTTATCATGAACTTTTTGTTTTCTACTTTTGCAGTAAGAAGTTCTACAAGTAGAGTGATATTCAAAGAGTTCAATTTTTTTTCCTTCTAAATTTGAAATTTCGTGAAATATTGGGCTTGGACATATTATCGAATGATCACATGAGAATCTATCATACTAGGCATTGAAAGAATAAAAAATTGGTTTTCTTGTGTGCGCATTGGTGTTGAAAAAGTATCATCTGTTGTCATATGCAGGAGACCAATCAAATAATGTGATCTTCTTGCAATTAAGATGTTTGTGTAGATGGTTTTACTTGGAGCTGGGAACCCTGAAGAAGTTTGAATATTCGATAGGCAATAAGACATGTTTTCAAGTGATGTTGCCCGTGCACATTATCGATGTATGGCTCGACGGAAACTTTTATCTCCCTAGACTACTTGGACTCCTTCCACTTTGATATGACAATTAAATGGAGACAGATTACCCTTGAAGAACTTCTTGCTGCACATGTACTTGTCTAGGTTTTCTCCACATGAATGAAAGGAATCAATGCTACCTAAGAAACAAGATGATAGAGCTAAATTTTGTGAAAGGTGGTCGTTGCTTGCCTTAGAGGAGGACTCGGTCTAAGAAAAGACGGGTTCACAATATTTGCTGAATTTTTCTTTCTTTTTCCCATCATACTTCACAACAAAGCCACAAGTTGGCTCTTACGAGTCTGGTTCGCGACTGCATACATGCTGGCCCGGAATACGTCGAATCCGTAATAAATTAATGAAAATATGTTTCACTTCGCTTTTAGAAATGACAGCGCTAAACCAATCAGCGACGCAACAAACTACGTTCGTTTCGCTTTTAAAAGTCTTCACGATCTACGAATCAGTTGCCTTCAACAAGCTTCAGCGTTCATGTCAAACGCATCATACCAGATGTCCAATTGGGTTTTGCAACTGAGAATGTGCGAGTTCGAAAAGGTGTCAAGCAGTGCCCACCATGCCTCCATGCATTAGACCTGCTCAGGCAAGAGAACAAGCAAAATTTCGCTGGTCACCGTGACCAATCGCCGAAGATTTAAATGGCGAAGTAAAACAAATTGTGGTCAAGATTAGAGACTACCACCGAAGAATTTGAGGATAGGTGCTTGACAACGAAGATAACTTATCATGTTGTCTACTCGTCATAAGGTGAGTAAATTCGATGGAATCTTATAAAACCAAATAAGATCAGAAAGCATATCGGTGGCGTCAGTTACAGCCTTCCACGTTTTGAGCACCTTGAATATTCGTCTTCGGGAAGACTTATAGACAACATATTCTCAGCAGTATCCTCTCTACTTCCTCATCCTGCTTCAGAAAGTCCACTGGAAGCAAGAAAATCCATGGATGAGGACGAGAGAAGACGAATAACAAGCAACAATTATCACCGAAGTTTGAAGCATATACCTTCCATGGAATTGTTGCCACCATCGATGCTTGGGTTCTCATCCTTCAATGATGTTCGGAAAAAGTGAAGAATTCCAAACATCTAACAAAGTTTCGGGAAGGATGGGCATAAGCTACCGGAGGAGGCAAAATCTCACACGAATAAGATAAATTCCTGTACAAATCTCATTGATGTTATTTGATTGTAACCACCTCCCTTGGAATGATTTTATCCAAAACTGAGCACATGCTAATGTAAGTTTTGCTGAACAGTGTCATCGAGAGCGTGAGTACTCGGACACTTCCATGACACGAAATTTTATTTTTCTTCTTCTTCTTGTTCTCTCTCCCTCCTCTCTCTCAAACACACACGCACGGACACACACCAAGGACAGAACGCTGTTGCAATATTCTAAGTTGAGCACTGCATAGAAAGCACATCATCCATAGTTGTCCCCACTTTTTATCCCATGCGTAGCATCTTTCCTACTTCTTACCGCCTACAAACTACAAGCAAGAGACACTCCAGTGGTTGTAAGAAACTCTCTCAATTTATGGTCATCATGCTCATTTTCCATTCTAAAGCTTCGAACATCACATAGTTTCACCTTCATAGTAGCGGAAAACAAATCTTCTCCCAACATAGAAGGTTCCATTTCATCAGGAGCGTCTTTTAGCTTTCTTTGCAAACTTGATAGAGGAGAAAGGCTATCTATCTTCCCAAAGTATCATACATTTACATCGACATATACACTTCTCAAATAACATCGAAACCACCAACAAAAAAAGAAGAAGAATAACCGAAGTTCTGAAGAGTTTGTACAATTTATGCCCTAAGACTGTTAATAAGCTTTATCGCTTGAAGCTCTTCACCTGAACGCTAAATTAGCTTTTAATAACATCCCGATCCTAACTTGGCGTCACCCAGTTAAGTACCCCGGGTATTGAGCGGGGTACAAGTAGGTGGCAAATGGATGCTTTACCTCGTTTCTTACAAACTTAAGATACGTAGACAAACAATCTAATCGAAGAGTTCTAAATTGGGTGACATAGTAGTTGATGTCGAACCTCTCCTCTATCCTCGAATATATCCCGAGTGGCCGGCAAAGCGGTCCGGCCGCATGCATTCCATCACTCGAGGGAAGATGAGAGTGCAGTTTAGATCCATCGACCCATCATCTGTCATCTTAATTAATCAGCGATCGCGCTCAATTCTCTGATGCGAACTCCTAATCCGAGTATGTTAGCAGGTGGCCTTCTCCGCTGACATTGGTGTGCAACAATTGTCCGACGTTTTCCTCTGACCTGAGAACGAGGGTATGGGGGACTCCGCTCTCGACGCCAGAGGTGAATATCATAATAAGAATGAGCAGAGGCGCATAGATCTTGGTTGTAGGCCTGGTGGAGCTTTACTGTGTAGGAGGGCTCAAGTTAAGTACGACTAAAGTACAGGCTTCTTCGGGGCGGCCCAGTTCTTGCCAGCCACGAGGAGCTCTAAATCGGAAGAAGGGACAGCGTCAGCCAGCTTGTCGAATCGCACGCACGAAGCGATCTGCCGCTAAATTTATGGCATGGTTGGCCGAAATTTACGAAGGGAGAGAATGCGAAAGATGGTGCATCGTCGCCGGCATGGAACGGGTTTAGTTAGTACTTTTGGGGGTCTAGATTAGCAGTTTAATAACAGAAAGGGTGTAAAGTATGGGGGGACATGTCCGGAGGTGCCGTTCCTTTTAAAATTCCCCTCCAGACTTCGCTGGTCGGAGGCCTCAATTATAGACAAATCTAACGGTCCAGAAACTTAAAGAGCGGACTGATGGCACGAGATCTACTGACGGTGTCCACGTCGGAATTCTCGCGATATGATGACCTAAAGTAAAGAAAACCATTTTAATTGGAGACAAAAAGAAGCACCCTTTGCTCTGCCCGTTGGCAACGTTAATATGCGCCGTCAAGGCTCTCCATCGCCCTGGACGGAAGTTGTCGTTCGCACGGACGTCAGGGATGGAATAATGGCTCGCACCCCCGCCGTTCCCCGGTCTCCCCTGTCCTACTCGCTGACCGCGACGCAGCCTTCGTGCGGGTTTCTGCACCGATCAGCATCACACCTACACTGCTCTGCCCTGGCCAGCCCAGCTCCAGGACCTCCCTTCCGTCTCCCTTCCTCCGCATTCCGCCATGGCCAGCCGATCACGTAAGCAACCCTGTGCAGAGCGCACCCGCCCAGCTTTTCCAGGCCGGGTGCAGATCCAGCCCGCCCGCCCGAGAAGGAGCTAAAGACGTGGGAAACCGGGCGTGAAATCGACTTTCGTCGTTAGTCCAGAGACGGGCGAAGGCGGAAGGAAGGGAGAGAGAGCAAACGACAGAGACACGGAGTGACGGAGACAGGCGAAAGGAAGGGAAGAGAGGCGTCGGGCGGGCGGGCGGGCGGAAGAATAGAGTAGCGGGGGCGAGAGGGCCGAGGTGGGGACTCGGGAAATGGTCTCTGGAGAGCGGGAGGGCGAGCAGCAGCAGCAGCAGGAGGACCGGGGAGTGGCGTGTGGCCGTGGGGGATGGGGACCGACCGACTGACTGACTGACTGCCCGACCGACTGACTGGAATGGGTCACAGGTGGAGGAGGTGGTGGTGGCTCCAGGGTGGAGCCGGGAGCTGCGACTGGAGCCGAGGGACAAAAGGGTAAACTGGAGCTTTGTCTTATTCGCGGAGGTCGTTTTGTCCACAGTGGCCGATGAAGGAGAACTGGTGAGGTCAGAAATCCGGTCACTCTGCCTCTGGGCTGCGTCTTCTTCGCCTTGTCCGTCCGGTTTGTCCATCTATCCATCTACGATCCATGTACCAGCGTGTCCGGCCGCGTAATAGTGCTCGGAAGGAGGCGAGGGTACGCTGAGGGACGAGCGCGGGGTGTGGTGGGGGAGGGGGGAGGGGGGAGGAGGGAGCGAGCGCGAGTTTGTGTTTGGCTGCTCGCCGGGAACGCTTTTGTTTTCTTTTCGACGGAGGTATTGGTGTCCTCACGCGCTTCGCACGCGGTAACAAGCCGAGACAGTGCTCCGGGTGAGAGCAGAGGGACGCCGCGGCCGCAGAGACGAGCAGTGAGCGCGCGAGCCGAAAGAGCAGCGAGAGCCGTGATCGGGCGGTGCGGTGCGGTGAGGCGAGGCGATGCGATGCGATATAGAGCGCGGGCTTTACATAAGCCTGTAGTGCAACATTGTGGGTGCCATTGATATGAACTTGAGCGAGGCTAGTGTGCCGTGTAGAAGAGCAGCGAGCAGAGTCATGGCCGATGAGGAGGATTAGGACGTGAGGCAGCGAGTAGGAGGAGGAGGTGTAGCGACCGGGAAATTTGTGCTTCGGAAAGCGAACGCGAAGACGAGTAGCAGCAGCAGCAGCAGCAGCGGCGGCGGCTATCGGACAGTAGTCCTCGCTTGGACACTGACCGCTTCTGTGGCGAAGGAGGCAGCCTTGGATAGGCGCTAGTGTGCCTGGTGTGTCAGGCTGTCGATCGGATGTGTAATCCCTTCAAGAATGAGTTTGCGAGTTGTTGGAAGCTTTTGTTGAAAGAGGTCGGATTACGAGAGTGTTGACAATTCGCTCTCCCTGTAATTTACCCCGCGCTCCCAATGCTTCTTGACCGTCGCCTATTGTGTGTGTGGCGAAGCAGTAGAGGGGTGAGGTAGTACGTTCACTGTAAAGCGGCATTTTACGCAGCAGGCGCCTCCGGTCGTTTTTGACCGAGCCCGAGTTAGCTATAGGAGCTGATCGATACGCGGGAGCAGAGGGGAAAAGTAAATTAGTGACCAAGAATGTGAGTTGGCGCGCGCCAGGGGCATACTGAAAGCGGTCGGCGTTTCAAGAAGCTTGATATCCTGAGGTGTCGGAGAACTGGGCCTGCGACAACTTCCTTGGTCAATTTCATTTTCTCATCGTGGTAGGGGAGTGTGATCTCATAGTATCGAACTTCAGAGCGCCTAGTGAGAGTTCTAGCGGACGTATAATCTTCGAAAAGGTGTCGTTCGGGTTTCTTCAGGTGCTGGCAGGGTTGATCTTGAAGTCTTCATCCCCGCCTGTTGTTTGCCACGAGGAGGAAAGGCAGAGAAGTGTGTGTGTTCTTACTAGGTATTACTTGTATTTTTAAGGAAAGCACAATACTTGAAAGCAGGTTCACGGATCGGGAATTTCCACCAGTGCGCACTCAGGGACTTTGACCCAGTCAAGGACTGATACATAGAGGAGGACGAGCGGTGGGTTGGCTTTCGAGAGAAAAATTGGCACTTGCTCCTTTGTCTTGCATTACGAGGTAGACGAGAAATCTGTCGAACTGTTTGACGCTGTGGGCAGCCACAATAGTCAGTCTTCCCTGCGATGGTGATCAAAGTTATGAGATGGCCTCTCCGGGCCACTGTTTCCAAGAAGTACCAAGTGAACATTGTCCTCCACAGGGTGGACGGTTTATGCGTCGGTCAGGGAGCCGATGAAGAAACAAGGCTGCTCGTGAACCTCAGGTGGAAGGGGCCAAGAACCGCTCTCGGATCCCGCTTCAAGGGGATGAAAAGTGTCCGGACCAGCTCTGTGCTTCTGGGTCCAAGTGGAGCCGTGGAGTGGGAGGAGGAGTTTGAGAACATTTGTGGGTTTACCATGACAAAGGAAGGAACCTTCCAGCCCTGGCCTATCTCGCTTGTGGTGTGCAAGGTACGAAGCTTTGCGCAAAATATTATGCAGTCCATCACTTTCTCATAAGCAGCTTCGCGTATATTTCAGTGCTCAATTTCGCCAGTTTTGCACCATTAAACCCGGTCTGCCCACTGTGAATATGAGTGGGATGCTCCACCACCTTGTTACCGCTTCCGGACTCTGTTTATGTCTATCCAAGCTGGAATCCTCACACTTTGCGTGGTCATATTTGTCAACCTTGAGGACTCGCCCTGGTCCGAAAGCTGCTCCTTGTAAGGTCAGAGGCTTATTTGCCGCGGTTTCCTTGATATGTATGTTCTAACTGTGTTCGCATTTTCTTGGCCAGGCTGTCCCCAGTATTTTGAAGACGAAGCCTTCGGTCTTGGGCTCGGTACCTGTGGATCTGGGCGAGCTTGTGATTGATACCGTCAAAACCTGTAATATCATTAAGCTTCCCGTTCCTTGCAACTTCGGAGGATCGGAGATGGAGGCGACTCTCTCGGTAACGTCTTTATCCTTTAGCTCGCCGTGAAAAGAATGTCGATATATCATCCGTTTATCATTTTTCTCTTGGAGTTGACTCGTGGGATCAAGGATTTCTGCGTGCTACACTCCCAACTCACTGCTTACTTAGTCACTTACGTTTCCTGGTTGCCATTTTGTATTGTATGCAAAAGCACGGGATAGATGAAATCAGTGTAATTAATCGGAATAGAAACTTTGTCGTCTGTCCCTGTGCTTGTTTAGATTTCAGTTAATTTCTGCGAAATTCGGACTCTCATGTTCGATGGACTCGAAAGCGTCCACCGGTTGATGGCTCCGGCCATAGCCTGTATGGGTGAGCCCATGTGGGACAGTGATGACGGAAAGCCAACCGACGTCGTGCGGAAGAAAGGGAGAGTCCTGAAGGGAATCATTCCGAGTATTAAATCGATGAAGAGGACTTCCATTGAAGAGGAGAGGCACGAAGGTGGAAAGCTTTCTCCTGGCAGCGAAGGGAAGCTGTCTCCCAGAAGCGTTGTGAGTCCGCCAGATTCAGAAACTCCATATGACTCGGATGAGGTGGACGATTCGGATGTCGAAGATTACGAACATGCCGGAGCTGTAGTAAAGCTGCAAAAATCATTCAGTTATGGAACTCTTGCTGGAGCGAATCTGGTGGTTGAGGGAGCTATTCCTTTTCACCGCGAGGACAGTGTGAACCCCGACGTTGGTGATATCATTTCGATTCACAGCAGGGCAAGCTCTTTGGCATTCTCCAAAGCGGTAGTGGGCGAAGAATCGTCATCGTCTGCTGACTCGGATGTCACTTTGGTTAGTCAAGGGTCTCTGAGTGGCTTATTGTCCTGGAGGAAGAGAAAGTTGAGTTTCAGGTCTCCGAGGGCAAGAGGAGAGCCGCTGTTAAACAAAGCATATGGAGAAGAAGGTGGTGATGAGATTGATTGGGATCGGAGACAATCAGAATCAGGATCTCCCAGCGATCACCTGGCCTTAATTGTAAGTCCCTTCCCCGTAGTATGAAAGGGCACTGCCTAAGTGATTATTTTCTGGTTTCAGTCTATTTGTTATTAGATTTCCTGAATTATACCGTTTGTTTACTACCTTTTGACGCAGTCTTGTATTCCAGTGTCCCCTTTCTTGTAAAAGAGCAACTTTCAGATGCCTTATCTCGCTGTATGTCCGTTTCCTTACTGTCTTTTTGGTTATTCTTCCAGAAGTACAAGGGCGAGGAGGGCTTATCTGCCACATCTTCCAATGCGACTGAGGTATTGGACTTTGGGGATGAGCTTTTCACAGTTGGAAGCTGGGAAACAAAGGACCTGGTCAGCAGAGATGGACAAATGAAACTGTCGGCAGACGTGTTCTTTGCTTCATTCGATCAACGCAGTGAAAGTGCTGCCGGAGAGAGTGCCTGCACTGCTCTCGTTGCGGTTATTGCTGACTGGTTGCACATGCACCCGACTTTGATGCCAAGTAAGGCCGAGTTCGACATGCTGATCAGGGATGGATCTGCAGAATGGAGGAAATTATGTGAAGTAGAGGCTTACAAAGATCGCTTCCCTGACCGACACTTTGATCTGGAAACCATTCTACAGGCAGAGGTGAGGCCGTTGTGTGTTGTTCCAGAGAAATCTTTCATAGGATTCTTTCAGCCAGAAGGGTTGGGAGCCTCCTGCGACTTTCTCGAGGGTGCCATGTCGTTCGACGGTATATGGGATGAGATTGAAAGATGTGGACCTGCAGTATACATCGTGAGTTGGAATGATCATTTCTTCGTCCTTAGAGTGGAAGAGCACTCATGCTACATTATTGACACCTTGGGAGAGAGATTGTATGAGGGATGTAATCAGGCCTACATTTTGCACTTCGATGAAACGACGTCTTTGTGCAATGTACCTTTAAAGCAAACTAAAGATACAAAAGTTGTGCCGGAGGAGGCGACGGGAACGGAAGATGCCGTTTCTAGCGATAAGAACGAGAAAAGTAGGCAATCAGAAGTAGGAGTTGGAACTGTGGAATCTGCACCCGAAGGGAACTTAGCAGAGTGTTCTTCAGGAGACACGGTACATGTGGGAAGGGCTGCGTGCAGGCAGTTTATCAAGGGATTCTTTGCTGCTTTGCCCTTGAGGGAGCTACAGATAGACGTGAAGAAGGGTCTGTTGGGAAAAGCTCCATTACATCATCGCCTGCAAATTGAGTTCCACTACGCTAAGGCTCTACCGTCTTTCCCCAGTTCTAGCATGTTAGGCCTCAGTTTTTGAAGAGCAATAGAAAGGGAATGCTGCAGAGATGTAGGGTTTAGTTGGGTTAAATGTATTCATAGCTGTACTATTACGCGTTGGTAGTTCAGGCACGACTGACTCTACCCATCTTGGATTGTGCCACACTAATGTACTCCATATTTTTAATTGGCCTTCCTGTCCATGGAAACTATTCTCTGGACAGAGACTGATGGTGACGGAGAATCTAGACGGACTAGAGCCGACTGGAGCAACCAAAGCGCATGACTTTTTGACCTTCCCCAATAGACACATGGTGTTTTTAGGTAATAAGCTCAGGGGAATCTTGAAGCGTCTTAGTTCACAAGACGATCTTGGGTATTATAGTGGTCTTCTCTAAAGATGTTTGTCATAGGAGAGGCATGAGGTGACTGTGAGTTTAAAATCTGGCTTACCCAAGGGAAAAGAATGATATCTCTTGGACCGGTGTTTGATGAAGGAGATATACCAAGAGAGAAGTCCACACGTCCTCTTCATTCAGGTGTACACTAGTGAACTTTGTAGCTGACAAGTACTATTTGGCGTCCCGCAGCATGTCTTACTGTGACATTCATATGCACTGAAATTATGTGTACATAAGAGCCTAGAACAGGCAGCGACAGTTTTCAGCTACTTGCTTGTGTATACTCGGATTGGTTGATGTGAATTTGTCAACTGTGTAATACCGGATGGATTTTGCTCCGCGGTTCTATGTGAAGAATATATAGACATGAGTTCACAACTTGTTATCTTTCATGTGATATTTTGAGATATTGTTCCGAGTGTGTTTTGTCGGTTGCGAGGATTTGCCTTGTGCACATAATGAGGAATCAGCGTCAATCCGTCTACGTCACGCAGGTGATCTCGCGCCTGCTACGACGCAAAGTCTGCCTAGCAGACTATGCGTGTCCTTGACATACATGAACTATTAAGTGGAGAAAGATAAAACATGATTAAAGCGTATTATATACGAGAGTTGATGGGAAATAAGGTAACTGTAAATGGCGGCTTCACTTGCAAGCTAATGCACAAGATTTGTGAGAGTCTCAGCAAGCCAAAGGAATTTTTATCACAAAATCATATACACCGGAGTGGTTTTGAAATACAACATCTCATGTATCAATTACTCCCGGTTGTAGGTTGTGAAACAATTTTGTTCGGTGGTTTAATTTCACGTTTGTGTAACGTTTCCATTTCTATTGAAACGTATACACTTCCATTGTGCCACTAGCATCTGCCAGTAGATTATGACCATCAGAACTGTGCGAACGTCAAATACATATCAAAACAGGTCTTAAAACAGATTTGATCAGGCCTGACCCACCCTTTTCTCGTCGTGCAATGACATTGCTCTACATCGAAAACTAATCCAATGAACTATATAGAGACAAAGTCAACCACGCTTTTGCTTCAGATATGTCATAGTATCAATAGAACGTAATTAAAAATTGAAATATTTGGAATATAAATGTACTAGGTTGACTCTGATGTTATCTCAGTTTACTATTTTAAATAGTTCAGAAAGCTAGTCTATCACAACATAATTAAGATAGAGAATGCGAACATGATTGGAAAAACCAGTGACATTTCTGGATCTATTGATGGGCTGAGTCAACTGTTCCTGGAGAGAAAAAAAGACGAGACTCCAGCAAAACTTACGTGTTTCATTTTCGTCGTCGGAACCTTAGTTTGGTATCTTTACGGATTTGACATTGGAAAACATTCATAATCACAAACGTTCCGATTCCCACCATTCCCTAGGCTGTCCGCGTGAGAAGGGACTTTGGGCCTTGATAGACGTACTGGCCACCGTACTATCCTAGAGCCGAAGGCTCGCTTCAGCCTCTTTCTCTTGAGAGAATCAGAATAAGATCAATTATGTTATCATGTATTAAATTTTTTTTAGCCTTATGAAGATTTAAGGCAGAGAAATAAGACAGTAAATAGAAGGTAACTATATTTACTAAAAGTTGGAGAGTGAAGACCTAAGTGGAGGGATCCGTCTACTCCGACTTTTTTTATCATAGATCTGAAGGGATCGAATCTACCTTCTTAAACTCTTGGAACACAGCTATCCTAGCTATTGCTTTCTCCGAAAAGGGTCCAAGAAATTTACAAAAAAGATGGAAGACTACATCAAGTGGAAGAAGTTTTGCTTTATCTGCTTTGCATCTTGTGTTGTCTTCTATCCTCTTGAAAGTTTTATATTAGTTCAATTCTGTTATGAATTTCAAGATTGTAATGTTGGAAGCATTGATCATTTTATGCTTTTCGACAATTCTAAAGTTGAAGTTCATATACTCTCAACTATCTGAGATTGCAAACCACACCTAATTTGATGAGTGATTTTGTTTCAAATTTTGGTGGTAATTTTTACCTCAATGTCTATATTCTTTTCCAGTCATCGGTGTTGATATATGATTTTTACTTATTACTCTCCAAATTTATTTTGCAATAAGATAAGGGCTGATGGAGAAAGGCTAGTCATCTTATTACACATTCTTGCTTATAATTATTTTATTTCTATGTTATTACTTAATTCAACTCAGCAGTAGTATAACTGAAAGAAAAAATATGGAGGTATATTAAAATAAGATATGTTAAAATCCGTCTGATCCAACCAACAGATGTCTAAGTTCAAATATTATTGACAAAAAAAGTATAAGTAGTTTTATTTGAGTATAAATAATAGGCTTTGGGATTGTTACATCCTAATCATCCACATCGTACATTTCACACCTATCTTACAGTGTTCGCATGACTTCTTTGTTTGACTTCTTGTGTGAACTTGAACATGGGCGCCCCTCTTATTCGTCTCACGATTATTATGGACTAAAAACCAGGCTAGTTCAACATGTGACTATGCATCGACACGTCTACTATTTGTATATCTCAGTGACAAATGGGATAGATTCCAATAATCAGGGACACAAACTGGGTGGATATCAAATTACTTAATAACTGGTGTTTTCAGTTTCACTTAACTTGCACATACTATAAGTTTAACAAATGAAAAGAAAGGAGGAGTATAAATATGTAGAAAAGATACATCCAAGTCCAACTTCTCAACATCAAGTTTCAGAAAAAGAAGCAAAATCTCCATACCTTTTGGTTAAAAGAGTGTTGATATGTTTAAGACAAAACATATTTAGAATAGAGAGGATGGCAGACAACATATTTTATTGATTAGGAAAAACTAAAACTCATGAGAGAACTATACTTTTATAGTAAATATGATTTTATCGTTTTACAAATTTCTATAACTAGTGATGTGATGCTACTGATTGTTAGACGTGTAAAACTGTAGAAAATGGAGAAGACCGCATCAAGTGGTAATCTAGTGTAAAATTACAATGGTTGATTTGTTCATATAATATGACAATGGTTAACATGTCTCATCCAGGATGAGACATGTTAACCATTGACAAAGGATGAGTCATCCTTTATTATCTCCTCTCCGAAAATAGATGACGAGGGGATTTCGGAGCACTGCCTCGCGCGTGACGGTCATCCATCCAGACAAGCGTTCTTGGCACCTACAACACAGAACAGAACTTCTTGGAAACCTGTCAATTACAGATCGTATGAACCCAGTTGAATGTCCTAGCCATTAACTCACCGTCTGTGACCGGTCGTAGGCTCTCGAGCATTTGAAACGGCCAGATCGTCCCTCCTCGTCTTCTTGTTCAAGACTTGGGATCCACATCCTCCATTGCTTAGTTCTTTCCTCAACTTCATGATCGTGATTAGGTCATCGACTGTTGTCGAACTCAACGTAAGTGAGTTGGTGCGTACCTCTTCAGTTTAGCGGACTCGGGTCACAATCAATGTGCACGGTTTGTTGATTTTTGTGGTAACGCCGTGGAGACAGAGCGAGGGTAGAGTGTGGAATATTGAATAGGGGGTGAGATGGAATTGCTGTGATCGTATTTTCATCCTCGGCGAGGTGGGAGTTCGTCTCAATGTGCATCAAGGATTCCAGTCCAGCAGCCTGGTTTGTGATTCCATGGCAAAGGACCTATCCTGATATTTCGGATCTCCTAAACCTTCTGAGCCCATGTTCCTCCGCTCAGGCTGCGTCGTCGCCTTGAAGTATTTATCTGTCGCTAATGGAGACTTGGTGGATGTCGCCGTGGAATTCTTATACAATTATGAAGCCGTGTCTTCTTGAACTTTAAGTTGCGAAAGTACTCTTCCTCGGAGCTGAAAGGATAGAACAGAAACACATCTTGCGAGGGCACTTTTGCATTTGTTGGAGGAGGCCATGTGTGGATGGATGATTTACTGGTCATGAACACATAGCTGGCCTTGACTAATTCCTCGTGACACTTGGTGCAAGAAACTTAAACACTTATCCGTTATGGCAGTTCTGAGAGGATCCGAAAGTTCTCGTTGGACGTAAAGGGAAGGACGAAAGGAAGAATAGTGTTGAATAGAAGATTTGTATCGGGCAAAAATACGTCGAAGCGGTGAGCAATTGCAGGCAGAATGTGAAAAGGACGTTCAACCTGAAGCCAAGACATTCCAATGGAGGACTTGGCACATTTCATTCAGTCTATGAGCGAGAAGTACGGGCTCCTGGATGCTGCTAACGAGGAATCCCGGGAGTTTCTAGGTCTAACTGGTAATAAGCAAAATCAAGAATGTTCAAGCTCAGCCGCCAGCAACCCAAACAGTAACGAAGATTGTCCAGCTCAAGCAAGCAGTTGGGAGTACCTGTCTATCTTCATCAGTGGACAAACCTTAGACAACAAAGCCAACGTCGTCTCACCAAACGTGCATGTAAGCCCAGGACCCTTCCATGCAGGTAAGGAATCTCATATTCGTGCCTGTGCCAGGATGATAGATATCAATGAGGAGCCCGAGCTCGAGTCTCCTCTACCTACAACTTCTCATGTTGTCATCAAGGAGCATGACCGCGATGAAGTCTTTACTGACAAAGACTCCATAATTGGAATCCAGCAAATTACACCTCATGAAAAGGATTTTTCCAGCATTGTCACGATGTCAGATTATCTTCAAAAGGTGTACTGCTCGAAAGAAGGTGAGAAAAAAGATCGATTGTTTGACACTGAAGGCTTGATCAGTACGGGAGAGCTCGAGGACCTGACATGTAGGTCAGGTGCAACGAGCAGCAGGGAGGATTCTTCAAGTCCTTTAGAAGATCAAAAAAGAAACGATGAATACCACTCGAGGAATATGAATGAGTGTTCTCAAAATGGAAGTACAAGTTTTGGATCACATCAGACTGAAGGTGAAAATCCAGAATCAGATCGAGTTAAAGATAGTCAAGGACAGTTCACGGCCGAGTGCGCGACAGGTTCAGATAAAGATATGCACCACTGTTCTTGGAATTTTGATGTGGCTGATGATCAGCCGAAGTTCGAAGATAGCCCCACACCGAAACCGAGAAGCATAAGCAGCAATTCCAAACCAAATGCTTGTGCAACTGAGAAAGTACAACCTCGCAGCAGGAGGCAAAGGGGAATTGTTTCGAGCTTCGTTGGTCTCGATGATGAGGCAGATTTTGGAGAAAGTATTGCTTTCCATGAGTTAACTGTTTCAAGTGGGGAATCGACCCCAAGATCTTGTCAAATTGAAAGTGGAGAAAGCTTAAAATCCAAATGGATTTACATTAACAAGATACTGTGTGACTACGGCTTCTCTCCGCTGGACAATAATTGCACAATTCCATCTCCTGAAACATTCGATAAAATATTCGACACTCTTATCGACGTAGTTCGAAACTTTGCAAGACGCGAGAAGCTAGTTCAGGTACACTTGCCTTGTTTTCCAAGCTACAAAAGCTCTTTTCTCCTTCAGAAGTTCTCCATCCCTAATTTTCATCGTTTTTACCTTCGTAATCTAACTAACGCGTTTTTTGGCTAGTAACTAAATCAGGAGCTTTTGGCGCAACGAGAATTATTACGTCAGGAGGAGCAAAGAACTGACCAGCTTACCTTCTAACTAACGCGTATTTTGGCTAGTAACTAAATCAGGAGCTTTTGGCGGAACGAGAATTATTACGTCAGGAGGAGCAAAGAACTGACCAGCTTACCTTAAAACTAGAGTCTGATATCGACACGCTGAGGAATAAGCTAGCTGCTTCTGAACAACGCGCAGAACTAGCTACAGCGGCCTCGGAAAAGACTTTCGCTGCTCTGCGTAAAGAGCATCAACGTCTTGAGACCTCTCATGCCAGTATGCTCCAACGTTGCAGGTTCTCTCCTCTCTTTCAGGAAAGATGTATTTGAGGGAACCTCAAAACCTGAAGCTAGCTTAAGCTCTTCATTTATAATCGTAAGTTTTGCGAAAACCATGTTCAAAGGCATGCTGGATAAACCCGAATAAATCCTGTTAGTTCGTACTCCCTCTACAATAGGTGGACAAATGGCAGTGCTAGTCTGAACTGTTGTCTTGCAGGATATAATTACTTGATAGATATTATCCAGTGCTATGGGATGTTTACAAAACTTTTGGGCTGAGATATATTTTCTAATTGAAGAAAATCAATAAGTTAATAATAATGCAGATGACTTAACCAGATACTGCTGGGCCTTACACGTAAAAGTTATCTAACATTTGAATTGACTGCAACAGTCAACTTGAGCATGTTTGCCGCGCCAAAGAGAGATCTCTTCGAAAGCTTCAGGAAAAGATCCAGGAAGCAGTAAGAAGGGTAAGTGTTGACCTAGTCTTTGATGGGACATAATAAAGCATGTCCACGAGATCCTCTGCTCTCCATGGTGATGAAATCAGATTACTTATGATTGATACTCTGATATTCTGTACACAGGAACAAAGTCAACGATCTAGGGAGAAGGAGCTATATGAGAAGCTCAAACACAAAGTCGCTATAAGTCAGAAAGCGCAAGGAGAAATAATTGAATCTAATTTCCTGTTGAGAGATTTGAAACCAGCTTGCATTGTGAGTTCTCAGACTGCACTGTCTATCTTTCTAGTATATTCGTCTGACCTTCGGGTTTTGCACTTGATCACCTTCTGAAAAGAACGTGAAATGATCCTGATGTTGATGGATTCAGAAATATAACATTGAAATTGTGCTAGGCAAGACTGCCCTCTCATAGAAGGGTTAGTTCTCTTATGTTTGTTCAGCATGCACTACTGTGATGCTTGTAAATTGTAGTGATATTTTCATGTTACATATCCCGACTTGCTTAACCCCTACACTCTTTCTCCACACAGGTTGGGATATACGAGAGACAGAGGGCCGCAAATGAAGCTGAAATGAACCACTTGCGTGAAGAAAATTCCCGCTTGTGTAAAGAGCTGCGAGAGAAAGAAAACTCGCTTTTCAGCAAGGTACATTCCATCATCATCCACATCCTTCATGCCTGTTGTTCTCTACTTCTTTCATGAACTTGCTTGTGAATGTCAACTCCTGGCTGTGGTGAACCAGATTCAAGGAATTCTAAATTATAGAAAACTGCAAATCCTACGTCTCAACCTTGCTGCTTTGAAAGAACAGAACTCCAGCCTTGTAGAATACGGGAAGTGTTGGCAGTCGTATAGAAGGAGAACCATATGATCATCTTACCTCAAAGATCAAGAGCTAGTGGCCTTACACAAAAGATTAGACGGATCCTGTTATAATCATCAATAGAGCAGATCATGAAGGATAATAAATCTCGCATAGAATTATTGAAATACTAAGGTGGAAAAAGAACCGCTGTTCTGGTATACTATATTAAAACTCATACACCTTGTCATTATAAAGTGTACTGCTTCTGACTGCAGGCTATATCAGCGGTAGAAGCAGATCAAGCAGAACTTGACCAGCGGGAACAAGAACTTATACAACAGCTTACAGAGGTTTGGAATTCTTCTTTAAGAACACTTTTTAAAGTTAGATCATCAGTCTATAATATGTTTAGAACATCTTGAACAAAGATTCTATCTGTTGGGTGTGGATGGTGAGCAGGTGCTGGAGACTTCTCAGGTAGGAAAAAACTGATTCAAAAGCTTGACTATCGGAAACTGAAGATTAGAAATGCTCTTAGTCAAAGGACTGATCCACTTGGTAACAATTTCGCATATTTTTTAAAAGTGGAACTTTGAAAGCATCTTAAGAGTGATAACTTCTTTAAATGAAACCAAATTATGAAAACTTTACTATCCATTATTAATTTTTGAATGATTTGTAGAAGATTCAGTTTTGAAATGATAGGCTTCGTCTTTTAGTAAAATGCTGAAAGCAACACTCATTATAGATGGTGAAGAGCACACAGTCAAAAAGACTTTTTAATTATTTGATCGTTTAACTTTGATTATTACAATTGTTATTATATTATTATTGATGAAATTGCAATCCTTGGAAGATTTATATGGCCGAGGTTTAGATGCCATTGAAAGGTGTTCAGCTCTTTTGTGATGGAAACTGAACAACTAGCATTGATAGAAGTGGCGCGTGTATTTGAAAAAAAAGTTGTGTCTAGCTTGAAAAGTTTGTTAGAATTGATACACCGAGCACTGATTTTACCCATCTTGTCTTTTAAGATGCATTGATTAGGTTGAACCGGTAGATTCTCCCCTTGGAGAAGCTGATTTATAGAAAAAAAAAATCTTTTTGACAGCAGAAACATGTAAAACATCAAGTATGATCCTATTCTGTCTATCATTCAAAGAAATGAGAACATTTCTTTTTCCTTGAATGGGTTGGCGACTATCATTGCTCATATATACGAACTCCTGTGATGGTAGTTCAATATATGTAACAAAGTCATTTTTACTCTATGTCATGTGTTGGATAGCACCAAAATCCACATACCATGCAGGATCCTCATAACATGCATATCTGTTCCGATGGATATAGCGCGGTGACATACAAGTGCTGCTGAATATTTGCTCAAGAATATGTGAAAGAGATGTCACACTCATATCCTTCTTGATCACACTTCTTCTTCTTGGAAGTGTGATTCTTGTAAACGTGTGCTGGGATACTTTGTGCGTTTTATACGATCACAACACATGTTTATAACTCAATCTGTTATTGCTAGTGTTATTCTTGAAGAATCATACTTCCAAGAAAAAAAGTTGGATGACAGAATGGCAGCGAGCGTGGACTTCCTCAACGTCAAAGATGATGCATCCAAGAAAATTCACTCAGGCAGATTCTTCATTGCGACAAGAACCTCTTTTCCCAAGCAAGAGATGAAATGCTTCCATTGCAAGAAGCGAGGCTAACGAGTGTCAGAAGAATAAACAAGACATCTCTTCCATACATTCTTGAGCAAATGTTCAGCAGCGGTTGTATGTCACCGCGCTACATACATCGGAACCGATCTTGCATAGTATGTAGATTTTGGTGCTACTCAACACATGATATATAACAAAAATAATTGTGTGATATTAAGTGAACTACCATGGGAGGAGTTTGTATAACTGGGCAATGAGAGTCGCCAACCCATCCAAAGAAAAGTAATGTTATCATTTCTTTAAATAATGGATAGGATAATATCTGATGTCTTTCATATTACTGCTCTCTGAAAAGATCTATTATTGATAAAGCAGCTTGTTCTCCTATTAGAGAGTCTACCGGTTCAACCTGATCAATGCATGTTGAAGAACAAGATGGATAAAGTCATTGCTCAGGGCATAGGACATTTTTTAGTGCATAACAACAAATTTTTCAGGCTGGAGACCACTTCACACAACGCGTTGTTTCTGCCAATGTTAGTTATTTGGCTTCCAACACTGAAGAGCTGAAAACCTATTAATGACATCTCACGCTAGACCATATGAGTCTTCCGCGGATTCAACAAATGAAACAACATCATATGTACAAGGGTTGGATAAATGTTCCTTTCGAACTCTCCCTTTCTGCACCTATAGGGAAGTCTATCAGAGCCAAGTTCCCAAGCACAAGAGCCATTTGTGCTATAGACCTTCTTGGTCTAGTGCACACATATAGCTGTGGCCCTCTAAGAACTCAAACATTCTCAGAATGTAAATAATTCATAACATTTATTGATGAACTTTCACGATATATGCATTTGTATTTGATACAAAAGAAGCCTGAAGCCTTTGCCAAGTTTCAGGAATTCAAACTGATAACTGAAAATTACCTGAACAAGCGCATCAAGGTTCTGCGATGAGATAATGCTCTTGAATACACATCTCGAGCTTTTACTGAATTTTGTAAGTTTCATGGTATTCAACGTCAGTTTTCTATTCCTGATACTCCCGAACAAAACGGAGTAGCTGAACTGAAGAATCTTACTTTGATCGATTCAGTTATAGCTATGTTGACACATTCTGGTCTTTTTCATAGTTATTGGGGCGAAGCCATCCATACTGTTGTTTACTTGCAGAACAGATCTCCATCGAAGTCTCTACCCAATGACAAAACCCCTTACGAACTTTTTGGCATGGACAGAAGCCTGATATGAGCCACTTATAAGTTTTTGGATGTACTGACTTTGCCCATATTTAAAAGGCCATCGGGGTAAGATTGACTCCAAGAGTGTAGGATGTGTTGTCCTTGGTTATTTTCCTACAGCCAAAGGATATCGGTTACAGCAAAAAGACTCTCATAAGATTCTCCCTGTCTGTTAACACGAGTGCAGTTAGTTGGGATTGAGATGTTCAGTGGCTGTGACCCATTGTAGGGGTTGTGTCCCTTTGACACATCCCTTGTCAACTCGAAATCGGGGGTTTAACCCCTGATCCGGGACCTGTGTTGAAAAACAAGTCTAGTAAATAAAGCCTTCCTCAAAACTCAATTCCTGTGTCTAGCCTTCTTGCATTGCTCTTCTTTCTAATAGATTTTGAGAGTAAAACTTTTTCAGAAACCTCTCAGACATTTCATCATTCTGGATATGTATATTAAGTATATCCTGAAGTGATATGCCAAAAACTTGTCTCAAAACTTGTTAGCGATTATCTAAAATGTCCAAAAGGATCTCAAAACTCAGCTAACGAAGATTTGTGAGCTTTGCTATCATTAATTTTATTTCTTGGCTTTTTATTTTTCCCAATGTGATTTCTTTTTTGCTATGCACTTCAATTCGATTTTAATAAATCGTCAAGTAAATCCAACAGCCATTTTACTGTTCTCTACATTTTTCGTGTGCGGTCCAAAAAGCGCTTAGAGACAGATGATACTGTCCTATTCAATAGTGGTCATTTTAAGTTGATATTTGAACATAGGTCCATGTTTACTATACATTGTGGGAGAAAGAATTATCTCACTCATGTACTTGAGTTCAGATCGAAAATGAGTTGATAAAGAAGGCACCTCACTGTCGACAGCCGGAATATAGAAGAAATTCAGCCCTGTTACCTCTGGTAGGCAGCCACATGGCAGGATATTACATTTGAATTTATTTCTGGCCTAAACCACGGAGAATGTCTACAAAAATGTCCGGCAGGAAGATCCTGTCCAAATTCAAAGTTGCAGGCTGAGATATACTGAATTAGCGGGTCTAGGTTGGTTAAAGGTAAGTGTTTTTTCAAACCCTGGGACAGATGATGAGAGAGGAAATCGGTTTTGAGCAGGCAGTCAATCAAACGGACGAACTGAAGAAAGAGAAACTGAACCATGATGTTCATCTGAAGCCAAATTCAGCTGAGAATAAGTCATCCATGTTGGTACTGCAGAGGCTTCAGGTCTGCTGTTATGTAACTCAAAAGATCCAATTACAGGAGTTTCAACTCCTTCCTTCATTCGCTGAACACCATAGAAAACACCACCAACAGATCCAACTTAAGTAATTTCTACAATATTTGGAACTTAGAAATCAGAAAGGAAGAATTAATTATTTTATGGAAGCGACTTTGAGTTGATCCTCTGAACATCATTGAATCATAATTTATCAGGTCTTTTTTCAAAAAAGATTCAATGGAACCTTATTGTTACATTTCTTTTGTAGTCTGAATGTATTGTTGACTGACCCCTACAAGCGATGCCCCAAAGAGTCTGTTATATGCACGTATATTGAAAACAATATGTCTGCGTTTCGAGAATTTTTCTTCTTTACATATTTGTGTTCAGCTGGATGCTGCACAGGAAAGAAAAAATCATCAACTTCTTCAAGAAATCTCAAAGAAGAAATTGGAATATAATAGAACCAGCTCAAACTGCCAGGTATAGTACTTCTGTTAGTGTTTGTTCAATCTGTACTTTCATGAACGAATAGCAAATCTTTATTTGCAAAACATTCACTAATTTACTAATAAGATCATCCAAATTGTAAAGTTATCATTATCTTGCTTCTCTTAAAGCTTGCTATAGATAACAAAAAGTTTGTAATATAGTGGAAGATAACTATGTTTGTGCTTGATCGCCGATTAATTATGTTTCTCGCGAAGAGCGAATCGTAAGTACTTCTATCTACAAAGTAATTATCTTTCTCATCTTAGGCTTCCTTTTTTTTCGTTTTTTTGGTTTTGTTTTTTTATGCACCTCTGGTCTACTTCTTTTGATGGTTTCTGCCTAGCGTAATTTTGTGTGTCTCCATGAAGCCGCTTCTCAGAGCCCTCAATAGGACATCCATGTATGAAAGAAAGAAATAAACCAAGGAAAGATCGAGTAAAACTTCACTATCACAAACTCCACAAACTATCACACTCAGTGTCGTGGGTCCAAAAAATATATGTCATTCAATGAAACACATTTGAAAGCATATGGTTCCATCACATACTTTTATACCTCAGTCCGTGTAACATGCAACTTACCGATCCCACCAACTTTGCTTCCTGAAACGCAGACCGGCACCGCGACCGGATGCACCAGTGTGAATTGCCAGGATATGATGCAAGATATTTGTTGCAAGCTTAAAATTAGTGATCCAGTTCGCATAACTGTAAGTCGTTTCTTTTACGACGTCGTGTTGGCAGCAGTTTGCTTGTTATGTCTAGAGATTCAGAATAAATAATAGTTAGCTGTTCATAGCTACTGAAAGGAATGTTTCGATGCCAAACATATCTATTCTGCCTCGCATCTGCAATTATGGCGCGTAGAGTATTCTTTGAATCGACCATACAGTACTAATCATTCGAACGTCGTGTTAGTCTCGAATAGCTCTGCATTACCGGTCATAACCTAGTTTCGTTACGTTTGTTAGGATGCCATTGACAGCTTGCTGAAGGTAGTAGCAGCTGTTCCACGTATGGAAACTTTCATTGATAATGTATGTGAAGTAGTCTTCAACGAAGGTTACATGTTTCTTACTAGGTATGTTCCGGCTTTAAACGTCCCTGGCGATTCTAAATATTACCAGTCAGTCTATATCTTAAAGGATAAAGCAAGAAATGAGTTGTACTCTTAAGATCGGGACGAAGTGTTCTACCTGGTGTTGGTCGATGAGAATTCATTTTACTAGTCAGATATTTTTAATATGCTTTCAATATACTTTTGAATATGTACTTAGAAGTATACCCTTCCAGATCATTTCTATCTACGGAGATCCTGTAAGTTTTGATTACACAATCTGTCAATCTGTTCAAATTTAGAGCTGTGTTCTCAATGGATTTGACTATCTGGTGAATCATCTATGTCCACTTTCCTGAAATTATGTCGTCCACAATGTCTTGATTATGTCCACCTCACTAGCGGAGAGAACCCACGAAGTGTTCAACAAACTCCGGAAGCAATCCCCGAGATACTCAAGTTGTGGCTTCAACAGTTACAATCTTCTGCAGAGCTTCAGCAGTTCAAGGTATTTCCATTCTGTCTGCATGCTTCAGCCACTTCATTATCGGAAAAAAATCTGAAACTTGAAGCAATTCTAGAAACAACTTTGTAGCACATAACTTTCTTCCCAATGGACAGCTAAGATAGTTGGCTACCTCAAAGAACCAGCATATGAGGCAACCTCAGGTGTAACTGAAGCGTAGATATTGTTCTCTATTTTAAACAACAGAAGAGAAAATTCGAAATCTTTTCGCATGTGCATAAAGTTAGTTATTCGTTCATATTTAGTTCCCGACAGAGAAAGCTTCCTACTTGATCCTGAGGTTTGATGGATGTGTCCCAACAAGTTTGGTCATTCTTATGTGATTTGCAGGACTCAATTTGTGCTCAACTTTGGGAGCGGTTTGATGGCAAAGCTGAAAAGCATCCAATAAATTCCAGGCTGGCCGCAGCATCTGTGAAGGATCTGATAAATATTGAACGGGAATATCTGCTAACCCAACAATCTTACAGGTTGGTGTCTCCTACATATGAACATATGTAAGCGAATGGTTTATTTAAAAGTACGTGACGATCACTTTTGCCAAGGTTTGTTCTGCATATTGCGTATCAGAATTTACTCAAGTGATAAGATCTGCTAGAGAGGGTTTGGATGTTGAATTAATTTTCATCCTTTATAATAGAACCGTCGCGCTGCAGGGAAGCACAAACGCTTTTGAAGGCCGAACCGCAGAAGCTTTTGCATCGAATTATCGGGCATTTTCAGGTAAATTCTATCATTTCAGTTCTGTTTATATACATAGGCAAAGAACTGAAGATTTCGACCTGATGCACGAGATATTCATCTGAGCCCTCAGCCAAAGACCCTAATGAATTATATATGTTTTCTCCAGATGCTTTTTGAAATTCCTCAACTGGAAGGAGTTATGGCAGTCATGAACTCCGTCTACATTCAGATATCGGAATACCACAACTTTGCTAGGGCGCTTTGTTCCATGCTCGGTTTGCCCCAAGACTCTGGGGCCAACTCCATCATCTCGACAGTCACTGGTATTCTCAACAAGGTTACAAATCTGAGCTAGCTCTTATATTTGTGATTTGTCCAGCTGTCGTAATGCTGGAATTTGTGCCCGTCTCTTCTCTGTGGTGCACATAGAAAGCACAAACCCTTACGAAGTGTGAAATCTCGCGGAGTTAATAGCGTATCAGATTAGGTTGTTTCGACCACACCGTCAAATGCATTCTTGTACAAATGTCAGATTTTTAGATTATCATGAGCGCTTCTACTTGTACTGCTGGTCTTTCAAACTCCATAGAGACTAACAAATCCATGGTTCACTAATGGATAGGTTTGTTAACAAGGGCAGGTACAACGAACTGCAACTTAATTCTAGGTCTGAATGAGATTTCTGACATCACATTGCTATCTGAGTTCGGAGTGAATTACTCAAATAGTTTACCGGTGCTCTTTCAAAAAGTTGAAGCGAAGCTGGGTCTTGTTACATTTAACATTGGATCATGACCTTAGACGCTGGTGGAGTTTTAATATACATGAGAATACACGATGAGCAGATATGTTCATAGATTTCGTTAACATTGTTATCAGCAAGTCTGAATTTGGAATTAGTAGAATTCCTCCTTCCCCTGTTCATCCTCATCCTATAGTAAATTGTTCGAGAATTGCAAATCTCCAAATTTTCCATAATTTTTGCCACACCAAGTAGTGAACTGATGGCTGTTACAAGCCCCCAAATGATGCACTGTAAACATTGCGTAGGATATGAGCTACACATGTTCTTAAGACCTCGGTTTATCAGCTTATACGCATAACATGTGAGACCGAGTTATCGGAGTTTCACTAGGAATAAATGCAGCTTATGCTCGTTATATTTGTTGTTCGTTTCTGTTTGATGTTAGCCACTGAAAGTAACATACGGGCACGGACTGCCTGGAGGTGTTGCTGACTGCCGTTGCCTTTTGCTTATGCTTCTGCTCTCAGACGGTGTGAGAGGTCCCATCTAACGTCAACTGTTAGATACGTTTCTGCTTCAAGTGAAGCTGAATTCACAGTTAAATGAAGAAGTTTGACCTGCATTGCTTCCCTGATCTAGGTCCTGCTTTTCCTGATGGCTTGTGGACTACGAAAAATCAGTGGAGTTCAGATGGCAGTTTTCGTGCTGTTCCTATGCATATCTCGCCTGGAGCTCCTCCAGCGTTCATCGGGTTAAGCTTACAAAATAATGAATGGATGAACGATAAACCCGCACAATACAACGTGGCTTGAAGAATTCGACAGTACTTGCTGAGTGCCAGCCAGTTTCACTTAATGCTTGCTCAGCCTAAATACATAGCTACTCTACGTGCATGGAGAGCACCCACATCCACCAGCTTAAAAGCTCTACTCAAGCACGACAATCTTTAAACAGATAGGTGTAAAATTTCATTGTGTTGACACAAAACCGCTAGACATCTCAGCTTTAATTCAACTACAAACCACAGCGACAAAACACCTCTACCCCGCTGCATCTCAACCACAAACCTCGACAACCATGCGAGAAAATGTAGAACTTGCATAATGGAAACGTACTGGGCATGTAAACAGTAACTGGGGAGAGATGGCAATTTTGCTAAACGTAAAGTCTTGACTTATTGAATGTTTACATTTGAACACATTTTTCCGTTCCAAAGTTGCTTTGCACACTCTATATGCTCCGTGGAGGAAAGACGAAAGCTCAGAACAAGGTTTGGACCAGGTCATCTGGTGGTACGGGTACATATATTTCTTCCTTCCCAGAAACTCTACGTCAAACCTAACGAAAAATTATGGTTGATAACTCTACCTACTACTTCACTACTGCCTCGCATTGAAGTAATTCTTTCTAACCATTTCACAAGCTACACCTCAGATTCATCAGACATCGACATTTCTGATAGCATGTCAATGCAAAGGTCGAATAAAAAATCAATACTCAGAACCTCCGCCACAACGGGAGTCTACTACTTAATCCTCTGCCTCACGGTCTTTGAAAACCCTTTCTCTCGTTCTCAATTGCTTCGCTTCACTGATAACCTCGGCGACAATAATGGAGAGCACACGGCTGTACTCGAGCATACAGACATCTCCGAACACACAAGTGGGCACAAGGGTGCCAGTGACCCCGGCTCAAAATCACAGTGATCTCTATCTCCCAACAACAGGAAGCTCGTCACAACGATCGTGCAGTCTCCAGAAGACATCTGACGGAGCTCACTAACATCGTTATGGGCTTCCACAGACTGTCCAGCTAGAGGGTTCGCTGCTCGACGAGATCTTCCTTAAAGAACGCTTCTTGCGGTCTCCGACCGATACACGCTGATGCATACAGAAACTCACTCGAAAGCGTGGACCCCTACGCCATTGGTTCGGGTGTAACTAATGAGAAGAAAAATCCCAGAGGAAAGGTGACCAAGTGGCAATCTGCAAAATTGTTTCAGAATGTTATTTACAGTAGAATTGAGACCGGGATGTCCACTAATCCTCGTCCATGTCCTCGTCCTCATCTGAATCAGCTCTGCTCTCCCCCTCAAGCCGTAAGTCAGCTAGTAACTCATCCAAAGGAACAGATGGAGGCTGCTCCCCATCGATCATAGAGGCGGTCTCGGATCCTGGCACGTAGTTAGGATCCTTGTATAGAGCAATCTTGGACCGCATCTCCGGATCCTCCTCAAGCTCCTCCAAAAACCTCTCATACTCCATAGCTCTCTTTTGCTCCTCCTGTTTCGTTGCCGCGGCGGGATCAATTTCCATAGCCAAACTTTTGAGCTTCCACGGTCTGGCCCTTCCCCTCTTCCTTTGTCTCGTCTCCTCGTAGCTCTTCTTCACGAGCACCACATCAGGCAGGACGAGACCCTTGTACTTGTCCATTTCCATATCATTGGTGTTGGCTCCGTATAAATCATAACCGAGAGCATGGTCACCAGGGCTCAAAAGATGACCAATGTGAGTTTTGACCGTGAAAATGGTATCATTCTTTCCAAAGTCGGAGACACGAGCTACTTGGACATGAGCCTGAGAAAACCGATTACTACCAATAGATATTGCAGGCTCCGCTTCAACATCTAATACAATGTACTCTACCAACTGCTTGTGAGAGAGTAGAGCCTTGTAGGGAACTCGCCAGTACTGGTTGCAGTCATGATAAGCATATCTGAGAGTATTTGGGTCGAGAAGCATCAAATTATTCGAAACTCGCATGCAGAGAACCAGTGGTCCGATATTTCCAAGACTGGCAGCTACTTTCTGGGGCAGGCAGACGAGATCATCCCTGCAAACTGGACAGATCTCTACTGAGAAGGTGAACTTGTAGTTGTAGGTGTTGCTGTGAGTGTCGTGGGAGACCAACTGCTTGTCGTTCCTGAACTTGATGGGAACGACATTGTTGAGAAAGTCCACGAACTTGATGGCATGACTTCGGTTGGAGTAGAAAAAATCCACTCCATCGTGCATCTGTTTGATGTTGATGCACTGAGAAGAAGCCTGGTGCTTGATGATCAGCTGCTCCAGAAAGAAGAAGGTTCTCTTGTGATCAACTTTCTGCCTCAGCTGCACTTTCGCAATCCATTGATCAGGGTTGGCGGCAACTCGGGTGCATTTGTCACACATGTGATCATCCACGGTGTACTCAACCACGTACGCTTGCTCAAGAATGGCTCCGTTCACCACCTCCTTTTGAATTTTCAACTTCACCTTCAGCCTCTTGGAATGAGGCTCGGTCCAGATAAACCCTGCGTCCACCAATCTCACCTTGGTCAAATTCTTCAACCTCTTGATGCAAAACGTCAGCAGCTCCTTGGACTCCAGCTGCGCCTTCACCCACGTCCGCGGAGGCTGCAAGTATCGCTCGCACTCAGGGCAGTACAGAATCGTCACATGCTTCTGCAAATCCTCGGTGATGTCCACTTGAGACCGCAGGCAAGCCACGCACATGTTGGCCGCATTCGGGGCCATCGACACCCCACACATACAACAAAGCACTCGCCCCACCGTGTGATGCACGGTGAACATGTCGGCAACCGCCATCCCGTCCGCCATTGCGCAATTCAGCCTCAAAAGTGTCCCCTCGTTCCACGAATCCTTTCACAATTCGCCTCCGAGCCTCACCACTAGAACGCAAAAACGCTCAACGAAAAATCTCCGACGACCTTCCGCAACAATCCCGCTCTAAAACCCACCCCAAAATGCCGAATTGCGAACCAATTATCGAAAAAATCGACGCCGGCTCGGAAAAGAACGGACTTCCGAAGACAAAACTGAAGGAAACGCGGCGTCCGCTTTCAGCAAGACCAACTGCTTCACGGAATGCGAACCCGAAATCTGGAGGATCGGACGAAACGAAGCCCTCTGCTGCAGCAGCTGCAGAGTGCAGTGCAGCGATTGAGGGCCGGGGGGAAGAACGGGGGAGCTCATGTACGAGCTTCTCCGTGGTCGTCTCCTCTCCTCCAGCCCTAACTGTGACGGAACCGCGGGCCACCACCACCGACCGTGACTTCAACCCTAAGGCACAGTTCATGCACCCTGCCTGCTCTTCGGTCCTGGCTGCTTTGGCCGCCTTGACCGCTGTCCCCGACGTGGTAAGGAGTGTGGTAAGGAGGACTCTTCCCCGCACTCCTCTGCGACGTCGCGAGCCCGGACGATTTACCTCTCCACGAACCAACCTCCTTTCCCGACTATCGTGACGAATCGCGGATCCGCACGTCGTCCCATCCGTCGGATCCAATCCACCGCGACGAGCACTAGGTTGTCCCTTTCGTATTCTGAATCATCATCCGCGCCAGTGCCGCACCTGCTCCTCTTGCCCGATCTCTCGTCCAGTCCCCTTCTCCTGCCCTCCGCTAGCCTTCGACCCCCGTCGGGACTCGAACGAGGCGACGCGAGAGCATCAGTGGCAGCAGGGCGAGGAGGAGGACGAGGCAGCGAGAGGAGCGAGTAAAAGTAGAAGCCCCAGCATCGAGAGGAAGCGGAGGCGGTGAAGCGAGGCGAGCGGAATTGGGTGCAATTGTGCGGACAGACGGTGTGTTGCTGCAGTCGAGCGAGGGCTGCGAGCTCGGAGATCTGGTGGTGAAGCAGGCGAGCGGAAGCGATGCTGAGCAGGCAAGCTTTGAGGACGGGCCTCAGAGCCTGGAGGCCCGCAGTGGGAGCGATCCGTCGCTCGTTCGCCGCGGACGCTGGCGCTGCTGCTGTGCCCGCCGAGGATGCGGAGAGCGCGGAGTTCTTCAAGAAGTGGTCCAGCGTTGCCCCGAATCTCGATAAGCCCCACTTACCCCACACGTACATGAAGGCTCGCTCCACTCGGACCGACATCCCCGCCAAGCTGACCCTCAACTTCATTCTCCCCTACAAGTTCCAGATTGAAGCCAAAGAGGTACGTCTCAGCGCTTCTCTTCAGGTCGATTCCGTCGAATGCCTGTAAGTCGTTCGCGTCGCTGTGAGATTTGGATTATTGAGATGGTGCGGAGCTTTTCTTTCGTTGTTCGACAGCACTTTCCCCTACGGACAAATCGTGCAAGGATTTTTTTACAGATTATCCGTTTTTACGAGTGCGCGATGGCATAGAATCGCACGAGATCGAGCTTGCGGAACTTCTGCATTATTCGTGCTTTCGAGGACGTGCTGCAACTGCGGCAGGATCTCAGCAGGGATTCCTGATGGGAGTTTTCCATGTCGAGAAAGGGCTCTCGAGCTGGGATTCTACTGTATTAGAAGAGATCGGTTCCTATTGGTCTGGATGTTTGTTGGAAGCATCACTCGGTACCTGGACGATGTGTAGAATAACACGAAGCGGTGAAATTGCTGTCACTCGTGTTGAGCAGAGATTTTATTTTTCATTTACTCTTCTCTCTCCTATCTTAGGATGTACTGATCTCGATCCAAGCAGAGTCAGTGAGGTAGCGTCCTGGTGACAACACCGTTCCTGAGTTGGTGAACGACATGCTCTGCTCGGTTGGTGAATTGCAGGTGGACATGGTCATAATCCCAGCCACTTCCGGACAAATGGGAGTTCTTCCAGGTCACGTGCGGACCATGGCGGAGCTGAAGCCCGGTCTCCTGTCAGTCCACGAAGGTGATTCCGTCGAGAAGTGGTTCGTGAGCAGCGGGTTCGCCTTCATGCACGAAAACTCCGTCGCAGATCTCGTGGTCGTGGAAGGTGTACCGCTCGACCAGATTGATGCCGAGGAAGTCAAGAAGGGACTCGCCCATTACACGCAGCTTGTTAACACCGCGTCGACAGATTTGGAAAAGGCTAAGGCACAGATCGGTTTGGAGGTACACAGTGCCATGAGTGTTGCCCTAGCTGCGTAAGCGGTGATCATGTTTTGTGGGACCGTGACATCGCAACGGAGAATTTGCTGTCAATAGCTCAGCCGCCCTTTGGATATAATCGGTGACCGTCAAAGCGAATCTACTCGTCATCTCGAGGTGGCACAACGAGTCACCTGCGGTGTAGTTTGTTTGATAGTCTCTTCAACTCGAATTTGAGAAATGGGATGGACATTGCGAGAAAAAAGACTCCGAGGTTATGAGATTACCCTTTTTAACTCAGGACCGGGTTTGGACGAGGGTGAACAATCATTGTAGGATATGAGAACGGAATAATGACCAGAAGGACCAATGCCCTTCTTGAGTTTCCCTGAATTCTTTTTCTGTGCTGTTCTGAAAGTGCAGGAATGCCAATTCAGAACGATGTTCTCGTCCTCTTATCAGTTTTTTTGATAGTATTCGGTGGCCGACCTTTGAGCCTGTTCGTGTTTTGTTGGCTCTGTATATATCGTTCTATGAGGTCAGATGTGTACTTTTTCTCATTTCTTCCGGAGCCTTCTATCTCCACCAATCTGGTGTCGATTAATATGATATTTTTGCTGCTAGTCTTGGATGTGGGTATTTTAACGAGATTATTGATCGTTGGATCGGAGGGCCGTTGGTAGCCAACACAAACTGGTGAGAAAATTGCAAGTACATTAGTCAATATAACTGACGAGTCTCTGCTGTTGGAGACTGATCGATCATGTTACGAGAATTCTTTCGTGGATATTCTGGATATAGCTGTAATTCTGAACATGGGAGGCCTCTATGATTCTGACGTTCAAAGCTTGAACTTCGTTGTGAAGTGCTGTGCCGTATCCCGTGTTTTACCGTGAATACAAGGGCCCATCAGTTTGCTCCTTCGGCCGGTTAAAGAAGACGCAGTGTATAGGTGAGTGACCGTGCGTTGCGTGTGGTTCTAGGCTTCTCTCAAGTCTTGGCCAGATATATTTCATATGTGAAGTTGGTTATGAAATGTTTTCTGTTGAGTTGCACGTATTGGGATGACGATTTCTCGTGAGCGCCCTGTGCTTCTGTCTTCTCGAACCTCGAAATTGGATGTAGAGTAACGACTGTGACACCGTACATCGAATTTTTCGCAAAGAATCGCAAATTCTGAAGCCTGTCATACCGCTACGTTCATGTGACGCGCATTCTTGTGTAGAAACTGGTTTATACTGATGGCATGGCTCTGTGACTGCCAACGAAGCCTTGTCTTGTGACATCAGAGCTTGTCACTGGCCCCAGTCTCATCCACCTCCAGTTGCAGGTGGTTTTGGTTTCCCTAATATATGTATTGTGCAATGTACTTCACATCCATATTTCTTGGCTGTTCACATGCTCACTGTTTATGTTTCACGTCCCTCCTTTTTTGTGAGAAACTTCTTCTCCAACCACTGTATCAGAAAACCTTGTATAATTGTACCATACATTGCATGTAATTTGTCTCTTTCAAATTTCTACGCAGTCCATGTCATCCGATCTCAGTTCATGTTGAATCCACCCTCGCCCCTTTTAGCCTGTTTCCTCCTCTCTAATCTTACTTTCCCTATCTGAATATACTGGCTGTTGCATCACACATTTTTTTTTTTCTGTACAAGCATAGGATTAGTACCTGTTCATAGGTACATAACTTGAGGTCACTTTCTGTTCCCTCACCATAATAGGTTTTGCTTGACTCATGAGGTGTCGATCCAGGCTTCATTGTATGGCGGCATTTGTTAGTTCGTACAAGCCAAGTACCATCCGGGTGTCTATCCGCAATTGTGAGCTATCTCTTTTGTAGTTTCGTCGTCAGACTGGTCAAGTTGCATGCGAGCAGTAAGCTCGGTTTTGTGGCGATGATTGTATGATCTAGCTGTTATCGTATGACACATCTTTAGTCCGAGAACCCTGGGTATGCGCTTGCAAAATTTTTGAAGTTTACAGTTATCTCCCTTTAGTTCGTTCTGGAAGTTGCCCCGTCTCAGAACCTTGGGATAAGGTTTGTCTTCCTGGCAGTGGCCTCGAACTTCGTTTCGGCTTAACTGTTATTCCTTTGTCATCGGGTGAAGTGCTGTCATTACTTGCCTGTGAAAGCTTTAAGAGGCATCGACTGATGAAAATTTCGGTAACTCGGATGTATTCCCGTACAACATGAAATTCGGTTCTCAGACGGACGATCGTCGGAATCGATAATTCGTGAAATATGGAGTTTATTCGTGTCATTTGTTCCTCATATGGGGACTCAGAAAATACTGCTCTTGGATTTTTGCTCGAAGATCTCGAACATTTTTGCTCTCGGAGGAATGTAGCTGAGCAAGAATAAGTCGGTCTATGACCATCAAGTTCATAGGGCTCGAGAAGTGTCTGGAAACGTATCATCGACGGCCACATGAGGACCTTGGTATACACATCTAAACTTTTACAACGACTCGCCCTCGAGGAAGGCCTGGCTTGCTATGGGTGTTGCTCTTGTAACACTGAGTCCTTTGACTACCCTGCAAAGGGGTCAGGTCAACTTGCAGTACAAAATACTACGCAGAATTAAGGTCTCGCTCAATATTCTGCACACTTCGCGTACAGCACTAGCGTTAGAACTTTTGCTTCACGTCATGATGTGCACCGAGGGGAACGTTCTGTCAAGTTTTGTTCACATTTTTCAGAACATACGCCTTGCTTCCTCAACTGACATTTCCCCAGATCGGTGGCTGGTATAGTGAGTAGTAAGTTCAGGGACCATTAGCTAATGCTTTGATTCGAAAACGGTAATATTTGTGAAATTTAAGCTCACAAGATTCGTAGAAAACTGATGAGAATAAGAGGGTCGAATTTTGAAGAACGACAAAACCTCCTTAAACCAGAAACACAAAGGTTATTAAATGCTATGGAGTTTGGCGCCCAATGTAGAGTAAGCAATTTAGCTGTCTATCTAACGAAGCGTACAGGACCGCCACCGTCGCCCCTTTTAGCCTGTTTCCTTCTAGACTTGACGATTCAAAATGCAAATCACTCTCATTCTTCATAGTCGCACAAATTTTCAGACTACATTAGACACAAGATTACAGCAACAAGGATACAATGGTTGATAGAACTGAGTTCAAATTCAATTGGCTCTCCAATCTCACAAATATATAACCGGTTCTTCTCTAAACCTACTTTCCCTATCTGAATATAATGGCCTTTGCATCACACATTTCCTTCTTTCTGTACAAGCATCTGATTAGTACCTGATCACAGATATATAACATACGGATTACAGGTAATCCGGTGTTGTGTAGTTATCTCTACTACCTGAAAAAGCGAAATGCCGAAACAACAAAGTAGGGAAGCTTGGAAACATCAAAATGTCTAAACAACAAATTGCTGAAGATTCTAATTAAAGAATGTCAAAAAAATCAAACGGCCAAAACAACAAAGTGTCAATCCGATGAAACTTCAAATCCCAAAGATTTAGAATACTTGAAGTGCCAAAACAGCATGCCGTTGAGACATTATACTCTTTTGGCACTTCTAGTGAAGAGCCAAAATACCAAAATGCCAAATTTCTGAACTGCTAAAACGCCAAAGTAGCAAAATATTAAAATGGCAAAACAACAGAGTGTACAACAATTTCGGTACTTCCGTACATCAACCAGAATAGTTAGCCAGTCATCGTTCCTCTGTCTAAAAGTTACAAACGATATCGTTCCCTTGAACTGACCACAAGATAAAAAAATTAGAAAATATAAAATTCAGTAACAACTGGATAGAGTTGACCATAAATAAACAAAGAAAGCTGGATTTAAAGTAAGATACAGGTAGAACAACTCAATCCACCATCTTCGGTTGTCCCAGCCACGAGCCAAAATTTGTTGGTCTCACGAACGTTTGTTCCCTAATTTCTAAAATGAGGGCAGACACCATATCAAGATCACACTACTCGATGTATCAATACACAACACAAATTTCGTGGATACAACACAATAATCTCATTCAGTCCTTTAAAACACTTTTTGCTTACATATATAGAGATAATTGGGCTGAGTTTCCTCGTGATCACTTGCTATTCAGAATCGTAACCATTTCTTTTCTTTCTCTTTACTGTGCACAGCATTCGTTGCTGAAGCATGGGCGGCCTCAGCTTCTGATAAAGCTCTTCTTGCCACCTCCAACTTTCTATTTACGCCATCGTACACGGCCTTCTCCTTCCGGTTTCGGAGGGCCATCTCTTCCAACTTCGTGATTTTACCCCTAATTTCCATAATGCTGTCCTCATGTGCAACAATAGACCGTCTATCTTCCTTCCTCTGCATTTTCTTTTGACCAATCGGTCCGCGACTTTCTTTGGGCTCGAAACGTTGAGAGCCTGAGCCAAAACTTGTTTCATCATGACGAACTGGGCCAAGATGCTGATTGATGATTCCAAAAACATCAGGTGCTTTATCCCGATCTGTTTTCGCTGCGAGGGCTGCTGCTGCCCACTTTTTATACCGACTGCGCTTGCCACCACGTGTCTTCTTCTTGCCCTCGTGTCCTTTCGTCCCTTCTTTATCTCTTTCCTTGTGCCTCTTTTCATTAATGAAGTCCAGAGACTGTTTGGGAGGTAGCACCCTTGCTTCGATCGGAGCAATTTGGCCTTGGCCACTTATACCAAGCCCCATTCCAACTCGATAACCCATGCTAGCCATCATTTTAGATGCCACACCTCTAGTGTGTTTCTCCCAGTTGGCAAATGTCGTCGTATCTGTCTGTATACCCCCAGGCACGAGAATGCCGATGCCTTCTGTTTGTTCTTCTTCCTCATCTTCTTCCTCTTCACCATCAGAGCTTGAATCACTTGATCCATCATCACTCAATTCAGCATGTTCAGATAAAGCGAGCATTCCAATGTCCACAAGAGCTTTCTTACCGTCGCCTATGAAAACTACCTGAGCTTTTTTGAAAAATTCATCGTCCCAGAGTTCAAGTTCAGCCTGCTTCCAAAGTCCGGTAGTTTCGTCACCATCACATGCAAAGACTCTGGTACCCAACGGTATTCTTTCCCAGTCGGGACGGTGGAATAGACGAAGGGCATGCGAAGGAATCTCCATTCCTGTTCAATGTACAAAACAAACATCAACCAATCGTTAGACAAAACGCTCAGTATAATCTGGAAATAGGAGACAATTTAATAACTTTTGCTTCTGAGAGCCTGAACTTCAATATTCATGCAACTCAAGCTACTCAACTCATGTCATAACAATGTATGACGAAAGTAAGAAACCAGTCCAACATACATGGTGTAATAAAGCAGTCCACCTTCAGGATCTAACATGTATATCGATGAGGTTTAATAAAGCCGGTTGACAAATAATCCTGGATGTCACAATAGTTGACATGTTCTGAAACGTCTGTTCCATACAACGTAGCATCGTTGAACAACCTGAAGTTCCATCAACTCTACTAGTTGAACGCTCACAAAAAGATTGAGAACAATCATAAAGCAATATAGATGCCAAGATATATCTTTTCCAGCTGTCATTTTACTCTAAATTTCAGTCAATGTGTTCTTATTGAATAGATTCCGGTCTTTAATGAATTTGGTCAGAGTATATTTGGCTTCGTGATCATGCACATTACGTGACCTCTCAAGCTAGTTTACTCTTGAAATAAACTAGCAAAATTATAGAAGCACGTAACTAAGCAGAAGTAATAATGACAAGGTTTCTACTGCAAGAAGATAATGAAACCTGCACCATTCAGATATTTGTTTTTACATTGTACCCTGATAACATCCGGATCAAGTTATTCTTCCTCTAAAAGAAAACGATTTCTAGTCTGTGACCACGTCACCTTGGTGAGTCTAATCATGCACGTCGACTTCGGCAGTAGAAACTATTTACCACAGAACAGGGGTTGTATTGGTTAGAACCTGCAACGCCAAGTGCAGATTCCTGCTAAGTGAAACCAATATTAGCCACAATATGACGTGGTCACATGGTTCTCCAATGTAAAATTCTTCGGAGCTGTATAATTAGATGTCAATATTTGTGAACTATAGAAGAATTTGTATGACCATGACACCTAGGGCAAAAAAGAGTAAAGATCCACTGAAGGAACATAACATAGGAGTATCCATAAACAGATCCAGTTGACATTTTACTACTGAAGAGATCATACAAGACATTGAGAGAAATAAACATTACTCGAACTTGATATTGGTCCTGTCTTTGCCTTCAAAAGGCAACATCCTTCAAAACCATGACATACCAGCAAGTCGTCGCTCTTTGAATGCGTTTCGGATAAGACTAGATAGTCGAGATGATTATGATGCTAGTTTATTAATCGAGCCAGATTGTGTTACATTATTGACAAATACCTTCCTCTTATTTAGTTTCAGAAAATCCTTTTAACCGATAAATATAACAAACAGAAATTGTTAGAAACAACTAGACCTTGATTCATAAACAAGTATGGTATGTAGGTACGGATCATAGACAATGTTTCATGTTAACCTGAGCTGAGGCTTATACTGTGACTTCACCTATTGAACATGCAAGTGAAGGCAGCTAGATTGGCATCTTCATGGTCAATTTTACACTGAAATGAACCTGAGGACTGGAAAAAACTACCGTGATTCCAACAGGGATACACCAATTCCATAATCTTCAAGAGGAGACAGTTAACGGGTATAATACACGAAAGCAGAAATAAAAACTTGAAGCAACCACTTGTATACTGATCCCCTGACGTACTTGAGCAGCAAAAAGGTTGGTACATGTATGCTCAACAGATCAGATGGGAGATGTCAAGTAAACAATCCGATAATTTCGATTCAAGTTATGGCCCTAATTCCCGTTCTTGGTTAACCACTTCCGATAAACGTAACTCCAGAGTTTTGCTCAATGGTTATAATATTTCATTTACCACATCGTAATGTGCTTTTGTCCTACCGTGAAGAGATATCGAGCTACATTCGACTATACCGATCATGAACGTGAAAAATTAAGTACACAGTAACTATGGCACATACCATGAGACTGGCGGCAGTTACCACCAAATCGACAACGCTGCTGCAGGAAGAATCTGCAGATCTGCACTTATGGTGACTAGGTTGTTAGCTCGCACCTTAAAAATCTGAAACTACAAAGGTGGGTGACTTACCTCACCCACAGCAATCAAGAACAATAAACCTAGGCTTCAAAAGGCAGCTTGAGTTATAGAGACTTCTATGTCTTTAATACAAGGGCAACATTTGGTTTATCCTGCTACGCCTCTTGAGACAGGATTTTCCAGGCTCAGATAGAGACATGGTCTGCCACATTTTTAAAAGAAAGCTAGCTTCACAATCTATCGTACGTTTTCACCCGTGATAATACCACATGTCGAGGTTGCACTGAACTTTAAATGGCGAATGAACGTTCACATTGATAGAAGGGAGCAACAAATGTCCAGACTCATAAAGGTGAAAGTGATATGTTTTCCCAGAGTAAAGCAATAATATGCCTCAATCAACATATTGGTAAGGAGATGAAAAGGACGTTAAAACGTACAAGTAACTGTCATATACTGATATTTTTGCAACTGCAGGAACTTCATAACTGCCCAAGACTACAACTTCGCCCTTCGTTGTTCAAGTCAAAATCAGGGAAACAAAGCTTTGGTTATTCAATGCGTTTAGATTCATCTGTCTTCGAAAGCCTGCCCTCTGTAACCAAGGTTTAAAAAGCCATAAATTACAAAGCTGACCAACAGGTACTAAGTAGGGACGTCCTGAAAGGAAATTGTACTTCATGAACAAGAACAAGATATTTATAATAATTTGACTCAAATCAGGCAGAACTCCTGCCAAAACGAACTCTTCTGCTTATTCAGGTGTCAATAATTCCATAATGTTGATCATCGTAACGACATAGACTACAGATGGTTCAGTAAATATCAGCTGCTTATGATCTAACATCTTTTCATGTACTCCACAGTGTCATAAATCAAAGAAAAATGATGAAGAAGAATTGAGGGGTATTGTTTGGTGATTACCTGCATGTTTTCATTTGTTGGAGACAGGAAGAATACACGGGCAACACCAGACTTGTCCACGCTGCAGACTTTGCCATTATACCATCGACCATTTGTATGTCGAAAGCGGCAGACCGTGCCCTCAGTAATGGAACTTAGTTGTACCAGCTGACTGACCCCTTCTGCAGAACTAGAGTTTAAATCTTGAGTGGTTGTCGGGTTTGCGATACCGGGTGGACGGGACTTTTCTGGCTCCTCAGCTGGCGATATAGCATCCAATTCTTGAAGTAATCGAGCTCTCTTGAGTTGGAACACGCTTTCTTCTGCTGCTTTTACACAAGCTAACAGTTCTTCTTTCACCTTCAAAGTACAAAACACTATCAGGTATGTCTCATGTATGTATGTGTCACTTCCTCATTGGCTTTTAGCTGTCCTTACATCTTAAATATGATTATTTGTACCAATTATCACTTACAGTACTAGCCAAAGGCTTAGGAAATTTGATTACAATGTCTCCAATGATTCAGTAAGTTTTAAAAGTTCAGTTCCCTGCTTTTTCTAAGGCCGTATTATTCAAAAGATTCATCCAAGAAAGATCTATGGTGGTATTCGGCACACATAACTTGATTTCGCTATTGTAAGTAAATATTTACACTTGTGTCAGATTCAGAAGATCCAGGCCCCTGACAAGTATATATCTAATAAAAACTCTTTCCGTTCCATCCAACAAATGGTAGACTTATTTTTTCGTTCACAGTTCAAAAATTGAATTGGATGAACAGTCCCTCATCAGTCACGAGAAAGTAGAGAATTGTACAGCTTCAAAAAATGGATATCCACTTCACTTTTTTTAAATTGATCAAGAAAATCACCGTAAATGTGTACAACTTTAATGTTCTCATTAACCTGGTGAGAACAGACAGTAAATTAGGTTTCCATTTGATAGTAAAATACTCTCAACTCATCAGAAAAAATTATATTGTGTGACGGTGCTCTGATTTCCTGTTCTCTGTTCATTTATTTATCAGTGCCTCCAATTTCAAAGCTGCTGAACTCTGTCTGCCTCTAAAACTTAATCGAATTCGCTCGCTTCCACTGTCTATAGCTTCTCATACAATTTCACTCACGATTATTTGCTCTCGATATTTTTTATAAATATAAATACAAATTTTATACAGTGGAATTTCTGAGAAAACGCAGGCTATGCAGACGGTTCTTGCGTAGAGAAAAAACGAAATCAGAAGTTAAACACTGACAATGAATAAACCCTGCGAAAGCCGCGACGAGGTCGTAGTGAACTAACAACCATGAGACCAAAGGTCACATACCAGCAATAAATCACTATTCGACGGATCAGATTCCAGTGCTTCGTCAATTGCAATAACAGATGCTCGCTGTTCTTGTATATGGCCCTCCAACTCCTGCTCCAATTGCATATCCACGGGCTGTTCCATCGCTCAAATTACAATCAAAATCTCTACATCTCAAAACGCCTCAATAAGGCCTCATAACCCACATTCACCTTAAATCGAGTAACCAATGCAAACCCTGAACGCGAGAATCCAAAGTCGTGCACTTGTTTTAGTGCCTGCAGGCATAATCACTTGAATCCTCTGCATATTTCTCGCGTCGCATTTCTGCGCTCCGAAGCCTCTGTCTTGATCCAGGTACCCATCCTTGATCGACCACTGCCTCACTGACATCAGTCTCTAACTGGAGTCAGCTGTTCAACATGTCTACGTGTAGAAAGTGAAGGATATGGACATAAGCAGCATTGTCTTAAATTCCCAATAAAATACATCTGTCGGTCCCGCTAAAATTAGCATTCGTATAATACAAATATATATCCGAAAGACTACAATATTGCACATGAACTCGGGGATCATAAATTACAATTAATCGCGGTGGCTTGGGATTCTTTTCAAGTTATATCCTATTTTCAGAATTTGTATTGAGGTCTTATTCCTATGAAAATTTCTCTTTTTTCTTTTGATCAGTTTAAGCGCATTAGTCTATTGTATTTTACCATTAGTTATATTGGTAATATATAGTTAGTCCTTCTGATATTCTTTAGTTATTGCGATGTAGCTAGATGGCCTATTTACAATGCTCAGTCCGCTATGCAGGGTGTTTGAAAAGGAGACAAACAACTGATTTTTGTAGCTATATATAACTTGCTACGGCCATTGATGCTTCCAAGATGAAGAAAATATTCCAGGTGAATTGGTTTGAGTTAGATAATTACGTGCACAAAATCGAGGTGAAATACATGACGTATAGTACATCTTTTCTAACAAAGCAAATAAGAACTTTATCATTTGATATAAATTTTGACCTAAAATCATTTCAATTTTATCTAACCTCTTGTATACGAGAATTGTTGTCGAAACATTCTTTAATAATGAGACAAATTTCAAAAGCTGAAAAACATTCCAATAGAATGAAGGTGGACCCTTCGACTGTTAGTTGGAAATAAGATTTTAAATAAACCTACAAGATTTACTTGATCAGATCAGATCATTGAGATTACATTTATGAAACACTCAAGCAATTTTACTGATATCAACATAATCTGTCACGTACAACTTCTATAAGTCAAAACACTACGATACAAGAGCATTAGCTAACTCTAGTATGTATAAGTAAAAGTAGCTTCTTACTTAAATACAACCAAGACTTATAAATGAACCTAAGAATTTCCCCATGACTTTAGTCCTGGATTCCTCGACAATTTTTCTTCATTATGAGCAGATGAAAGAGAAAAAAAGCTACATAGGATTTGAATATTTTCAACAATTCTTTTTATCGGTTTAATATTGCCTCCTTGACAGTTTTCTGAGGCGATTGTTAAATATACTTTTGTTTCAAGTACATTCGGATCGAAGTGATTTTTAAAAGCAACTCGTGTTTATTCGAAATGATGATGAGGCAAATGGTAATAGATCAAGCCCGGGGGACCCAAAGGGTCAAAAGGCTGAGTGCATTCATACCTTATAAAACTTGCTTTAACAATGCAACGGTTTCAAATTACACTTATTATAATATATGATGTTTTACAAATGTTCTAACGGTGAGTTATTTCTAATGTTATATGTTTCAATATCTATGTTTCACTAATCATCAATCACTAACATGATCGATCAAGCCAATAACTTTTCATGATGAGTTTTCTCCCCCAAAAAAGTAATACATGTTTTATTAATGAAATGTGATAAAATTGAGTTAAATTATGAACATGAAAATCAAAGTCACAAACTTTGGTGTCCATTTCTTTTTTATACTTATAAAAAATAATGCATTCGCTTACGTTTGCCTGTTTGGATAATTTGATCCTTAATCTTACATGATATCTTTTGAATCATGAAATAAATATTTTAGGTTTGAAATTTAGAAATAAAATAAATTGGTGATGGACATAATATCATATGATCATATTTTATATTTATTTAATTAAAAGTGATCTGATCACATTTTTCTATAACACAATTTTATATAAAAATGATTTTATAAAATTTTTTGAGTTAAAAAAATTATGAACATGATTTAATGATTCAAAAATTTATCATGTAAAATGGTATGTCATTTCAATCTTCAAACATTCAAGTAGTGATTCAAACTTCAATTTTCTGTGAATATTATTGAAATATGTGTCACATATATATATATATATATAATATATAATATCTCTCATCGTGCTTCTTTGTGGAGAAAAAATAATATTCTTGTGATTAGCAAGCTCAATTAGATATAACATGATAGATTCACAAACATTTAATTAACAATTGATCATATTGATACTCAATATACACCTCTTAGTTCCATAAGAAAATTTGGTTCATTGAATACATGATACTAGTATGTTAGAAATATCTAATTTTTAATATGAAAATTTTTGTATTTTTGTTTGTTTTTTATTACATTTATAATACACAGTTATATTTATGTTTTATAATATCAGATTTGATAGTGATGTGATATGCTTATGCATGCAAACTTTTACCATATAACATTATTGAATGTAAACCAGCTAACACAAATATTACAAATTATTCCACTGATGTAATTAATTTTATTTATACTAGAATTGCAGCTTAGCAAAAATTAACAACATAAATAGATTTGTATATGTATCTTATTTTTATTTCAAATTTTTTCAACTTCAAATTTCTTTATTTTTATAATGTAGAAGTCAAATTCAAAGATATGATTATAATCAAATTGTCAATTGCATAAATCTAAAATTAAAAAAAACGCATGTAACTCAATATTTAGATTTTATTAATATAAATTCACTATAGGTTCATAACAAGAAAAGAGCATCAAAAATTCATGTTTTGAAGATGATTAAAACTCTTAACAAGCAAAAAATAAAAATACAATACATGTTATTAATACCTAAAGATATTCAAGCTATTTGAGTGGTTTTACAACTATGATGACAAAAAAATTTATCTAATAATCTACAAGCTACAATAATTTTATGTGAAAAGTTTTACACTTATGTTTCATGTGATCATTGCCACATCTAGTGATCCTAGTGATTTTTTAGTAATCCTAGTGATGTTATGGTTAAAACTCAATGAAAGTTTCAATCTCTAAAATATCTCCTCACAATCTTTTATTTGATTTGTGTACTTAAAATTCTACAGTTCTTTATGATAATAATTTTTATTTTAACTTATCATGATAACTTTGATTAAAAATTTTGACAAAACTTTAATCAAATCCTGTTCTTTTAGTAGCAGGTCAAGCAGCTCGCTTGTTCGTTCATCTGCAGAGTGACTTCATTTGCGGGGATGATAATTCTTGGATTCTAGAAGCCGATACTGACTTTTTTGCTAAGAGAATCTCATGGATGTGAAGTCTTTTGTTGAAGAGCAAGGCAACTATGTACATTTTGTGGAATATCGCATGGTGCGTACACCGAGCATTGGCCAATTTTGCTGAATTTCTTTGTCCACACAATTCCTATTTTGATGAATGTCTTTTTCTTTGTGGGCTTCAGAGTGTTTTATTTCTCTAGTCATTGTTGGTTTTTTTTTATGCAAATTATTCAGAATAGCATCCTTGTCAAGGTGTAATGTCTATGTCACAAGAGTTTATTCCATGAACAAAATGAATGCCAAATTTTTTCAAGAAACTATATGATGAAAATCAGTATCCATCATGTTCTTTTTTTCTCCTAATTTTCAAAACCGTCTTCCTAAAAGCATTCCTTCAAGGTTGATCATTGTCGCTAGACGCAGCTAAAGTTCAACTTCGGAAAAGTGTGGTCATCTTTTTGAGTCACAAGCCGAGCATGATGGAGAGATATCTAGCATCTACCATGTTGTGTAGCAAGGAGTACTAAAGTGTGGAGTACTAAAGAAGTTTAAACAGTGAACCAGCATATAAGATTGGAAGAAAACTTTGATAGTTTTGATGAGTTTGATAGATGTCATCATTCTTGGAGTGTGATAGAAGGCAGAGCATATCATAAGTTCAAACCCAAATTCAATTGTCTTGTGTGTGTTTGCCGTTCAGTAAAACAAAAGTCTTTTTTTAGGAACAAGAAAATTGTACTTACTGAAGAAGCTAAGAAGAAGACAGTTTTACTTCCAAAAGTTCAACCACAACCAAGAACTCTTCCACAATTACTACTGCTACGCATGTTTTTGTACAAGCTAGGAATGCAGCTTCTAGAAGAATCAAACTAAGTCAACATGTGATAAACAACAAAGTTTCTTTTGGAGTTAACAAAATATTGCTCAACGATGTAGCAATCATATTTTGGGTTGTCCACATTCAGTTGTAAAACATACTTGAGAATGGATTCCAATAGCTTTGGACCACTTGATGTTGTGTTTAAAAAAAAGTGGATCTTTTGTGACTAAAGCTTGTGGTGAATTAGACCGAATACTAGAATAAGGATCTAGTTTTGTAGTTCCATGTACTTTTAAAATGCGCTGCCATTACACTGCGAAAGGGGCATTTGTGATCACATTGTTGAATGTTCAACACACATGTCTACAACATAATAGTAGATGGAAAGCTTCTACACATACTTCATAGTGGCTTGGTGGAATGATAGGTTTCAAATTTACACGCAACATCCCTGTACCTTTTAGAAAATTGATGAGTGAATTCAAAATTGAATATAAGTTAAACACAAGGTACCAACAAATGTGGCGAGCTAAGTATATGGTGAAAGATTTGTATTTGGGAGTACAACAAAAATCTCAAAAAACAAAACTGATGTCAAGGACATGATTTACAATCCAGATTTTGACATTCTAAGAATCTTGATGATAATAGATGAGAGTGAGTTATCGAATTGTTAATCTGAACTACAAGGACAAGTGATTTCATCTTCATTAGGCTTGCGCAAGTACAATGAGCAGATTTGATGCCACTACAAGTTCTATAATTGATTACAGTCGAGGTGATAATATAGTACATGACATCTGTTGCAAGCTTAAAGTTCAGATGTCTTAGAAACACGCTTGAAACTTCACAATGTGGGTATCATCATGCCGTGAAATATGCAGCTATCGTTGTGCACTCATCAAACGTTGTATAATCCGTCAGAAATTGAAATCATCCAAGATAACTAGTATGCTAAATTTGTTCTTAATCTGCCTATTATTTTCACATTATTGAATGTTGTCATGTCCAGTCAATGTGGGTATCATCATGCCGTGAAATATGCAGCTATCGTTATGCACTCATCAAACGTTGTATAATCCGTCAGAGATTGAAATCATCCAAGATAACTAGTATGCTAAATTTGTTCCTAATCTGCCTATTATTTTCACATTGAAGAATGTTGTCATGTCCAATCGACACATTGGTGTCACTGAATCTGATCTGTTTCATGTTGCTCTCTAATCAGAAGCAAGTTTAAAAGATACAGCCACAGAGCAAGACTCATTCCTTAGAAATATCTTTGTTTGATGTAGAACAGTGGGAATTCAATATTGTGGCAACTACCGATGGGAGACGTAATATCGTGCCTAGGTTCCATTATTTGAAATATCCTCCTGGACTTGACCAAAATTCAGAGTGCGTCTTAGTGCAATTGAAGGTATTGCACATTCTCCTCTGGCAGGTTCGTATTCACACTTGTGTGCTTATCAAAGTCGCCAAGCAAGGATTAAGTATCAAATTCCGACAACATGTCACCCAGGAGAAAAATTTATAAACATTTTAGAAATTGCAGGTGTTTGAAGAGCACATAATCTTGCAAGGAGCATTGCTTTGTAGTTTGTAACTCTGATTGATCTTCTATGTGAAATGCACGAATGCTTGCAATCACATATATAATTATAAGTGATTTCATATGTGATTACATACATGTTGATATTTTCTTCCGTGTTTGTACTCACAAGATGAAAACGCTGTAAGTTAGATTTCATAGAACTAGTAGCCCGAATATTGTTTGTACTCTCACTTGCGAGAAGCATATTGGAAAGATTGTCATTATTGCCACATTTTGTAAACAAATTCTTAAAGCTATGTTTCCATTGGAGCTTGCTTCAATATGATTTATGAATAAAGAATGCGGCAGTTTTCAAAGTTGAATAATCTTGGGTTTCGGAGCATTGATCATGGTTTTTCTTTTTATTCTTACTCATGTTCGACATGTATGACTCCTAGATGTACAAGACTACAATGATTGACAAACTTGTGTATTCATTCAATCTTCTGATATGTTAGTACGTAGTAATTACTGGTGGTCAAAATGTTTACGCTTGAATGTCAATTATCGAATATATACACAAAAAGATGAAACTTTTTTGTTCAATGAAACTTAGATTTTCCCAATAAAAACATTCATGAATAAGACATCTCGAAGAAGCTTGAAATGAAGACTGTGGTTTCTTGCATCTTGATTTAAAAGAACTCCCAGCATTCTGCGGCTAAGAGCAAAAGTAAGCAAACTGGATTTTAGTAGAAAAAACAAAGAGTGGTCCTTGAAGGTTGCAAGGAGTTGAGTTTAGTTGATAGTCTACTGTCATTCATGCATATCATTGGAGCTTAATCGAAGAGAAATACTACGTAAGTGTGTGTATAACTGATAAAAAATCTAAAAGCTAGCTTGCAAATGCAGTTTTACTTTAACATTATTGATAACTTATATCGGTATCTCTCTTTTCTCACTTTACCCAACTAGTTAAGGCTCCAATGATACCCTCGTCATTTTTTCTTTCCAAGAGCACCTGAAGCTCATAAATGTATGGTGTATTTTATCCATGGTAGAAGATGTCGCTATCCATTGTAAGCCTTATTAAATTCACATAAGATGGATCAGCTTCCGAGCAGACATTCTCATCTGCAAGGAGGTCAAGAACAATGAACAGAATCTGTTCCAACACTTGTTAAGCTCTTTCACTACACAAAGAAAACTATTATATCACCTTGTAGCTAGCTTCATGTGATAAGAGTCAATGACAAATTCTAGCTCCACAACGTGATCCATCACCTGCTCAGGTGAAGGTTCAAATCAATGTGGACAGCTTTCGATAAGAAGTGGAACTTAGAAGCATTGTGGCAAATGCATATGCGCAACAAGATGCATTAGCAAATTGGCTTCTTAAGATTGCAACATTGTTTCAAGCTCAATCTCAGCTAAATCAGCTCGACAAGCGGAAAGTCTTTGTACTGATATAAATATTTTGTACAAGAACACGTATTAGAATTCATCGACGGTGTGCCGTCGGTGGGATCCCATTGGGTAAAACAAAACTTTATGGATTTCATCAAGCAGTTTACGTTTCCAAGGAGTACCATCAAGCAAATACTTCATTAATCAACACACACAAACATAGTATGTTCTAAATTATATCATTGAAAGATATCATCTTTGACTTAGGTGATGGGAGATTAACTAGTATCACTTTTCATAGTTTAATTAATTGAATTTTAATCATGCTTGATTTAATCTTTAACAATCTACTCTCGTTTTCATGTAATTATTTTACCAATTTTTTTAATACAAGATTAAATCAATTTCTATGTTAAGGTTAACTCCAGTTAAGGAGTAATCTCACGTTTAGCTATTTATAGTTGAGAATGGTCGCCGGTGTTGGGTATATATACCCAAGGTCTGTATGTTACTTGACAGAACGTTCAGTATACTATCATGATGATATTCCCCGTGGACGTAGCCCTTGAGAGGGTGAACCACGTTATATTAGATGTCTCATGTTGATGGATTGGCTTGAGTATCAGGTTTTACGTTTACAATTGGTATCAGAGCCAATTCTGGTTCGGACTGTGGGTCATAGGATTTTTTCTGATATAGGTTTCAGGTTTTTTCAATTTGGAGATTGAATGTTATCGCAGTTTTGTGGAGATAGTTTCCACTGAGGGTGATCTAACATAAGTTTTATGAGACGAGATTTAGTGAACTTTTGTTTTTGTTTTTTTTGAGTGTGACAAGCTACATGTCCATGAGCATGGTCTATTACGGTGAAGCTTGATGGTAGTAAAAATTTGGGTGCCGGTTTGAAGATTGAAAATATACTTGCTGCAACGAAGAGATTGCTCGATGGTCTCGAGGGTTTGCGAGGTGCAATTGAATGCCGGGTATATTAATGTGGACTTCAAGAAACGACGTAAGAGTATAATGTGATCCAAATCTGCAGAAAACATGTTCGAGATTTAAACGCTAGAGAATTGGAGGCAATACGATCGGGGCGCGTCATAACGAATGTCAGCTCACGAAGACTTCATAGTTTAGAGCTATGCACGCAGAAACAGACTGTGAGCGACTACAATGGTGGTATCAATAATCTGCAAGTAAATTTTTTACCCCTGTTGAGATAGATTTCATGTGATAGGACTGAAGTACGCTACCCGTTAGCCGGATCATCTGATGGTTCGGTGGGATGTTATGATACACTTCATCGCACAAGTGTCGAGTCACATTCTTGCTACCACATCCACGATGCTATTTTCAAAGTGAATAGGAAAAATCCGGGGGCATAAGTATGCGGTTTCTTCAGTTCAGTGTGGTATATTTCCTGAGAGTGGACCCTGTATAACGAAAGTTGTGATGGTGCAATTTGATTTTGGGACGTTGATTCGGGCTGTAATACTTTGGTGAACTACAAAAATACACACATGCAGAGAAGTAAAGCAACTCAGCTTGTTGTGTCCCCAAATTTCTCTAATCTGTTTGTTCCAACATCGACTGTAATTCGCTTCTACAATTTGTGAACTGACCGTGTGCTTAAGACGCTACGTGGACACTATTACACGGTCAATTGCTGCGAGTTTCATCCTTATGCACAGGAAATGTATAGTGGGAGCAATGGATCAAAGAATTTGGCATTCGGCTTAGTGCAACACTTCATGGATCGACAGGAAAACCAATTGCAGAGTTCCGGTTCATCATCCTCTAAGACAATGCTTGCCTCTGTATGGAAGACTCCTGCCATAGCATCTGTTCTTCTCGCTTCCACTGACACTTTTACTCAAGTTAACTCCTCATCTTCGCCAACTGCTGGACCCGAGATCGTGAAAAACGAAGTATTTAGTGATGGAGAGAAATCTAGTTCGTTGCATTCGCAAAGTCAACAGAGATTGAAGTGCTTCAAATTTGGGTTGTAAGCGGTATTGCTCCGGTCCTACTTGGAAGGATCATGCTCATTATGGAGAAACTAGATAGATTTACAAAGGCGACTGATGGTCACAATGAAGTCACCAGGCCCCAATTGCCAAAGCACCGTGATTTTTAGTGGAGCCAAGACGAGAATGGTGAAGCAGTTGAGGAGATCCGAGTTCAGGCACAAATTGATGACAAGTGGAGTTTGTCGACTCTAAGGTCCTGGCGAGGTTGCAAGTGCAGGCCTCAGCCCGAGCGGCGGGCACACCTATGCACAGGTCGGACAGGTTGCAAGCCAAGCGGGCAGCTCCACCTTCCCTTCCTCCCGCGCGCTCGGCAGATCACGCGGAACGAGTTGCAGGTTTAGCACCCCCTAAACAGTCCCCGCCGAACGGCAGGCCCGAATGTGATGTGGGCCAAAATGCGAGGTGCGAACGGCGAGCTCTATTCTTGATGACAACCGTCTTCTCCTGTGACCTGAGTAGGGCCGAGCGGCAAGGTGTCGTCACGTGGCAGGACCTCCACCAGTTTAGAGGCTCTTGACCATGACCGATAACGATAGAGAGGCTATATGGTTTGGAGATTGGGAGTCAACTTTGCTTGATGGAGAGACGGAGCTGCTTTGACCGAGGTCCATATTCATCTGAGGAATGCAAAGAAAGGTCTGGATTGATTCAATTAGTGTGCATAAGTATCCACCCTTCCCATCGATCATAAAGACGGAAAGACAAGACTGTCGACAGAAGAAGAGGTCATTTCTCGTGCTCATGTGGTATCAAACTCCGAAATCCGACGATAGTTACCGCAACGAAGGGCAGCGGAGCAAGAGCTGGAGCTGGCTAACCGCGGACAGGCGTAGGGTGCAGTCAGGGCAGTCGCGCTGGAGGTGCAGGCGCGTTGAACAGTACGATGAAACCCGCATTGCAATTGGCAGCTCGTTCTAAATGTGCTCGTGCTCGAAGTCAGACGTGGTTGAAGTTGTACGTGATCAGGATGAACCATAGTCACGGTGAACGTGATTACAGTCGACGTGGTAGCAATCGGACGTAGTCAGAGCTCATGCAATGCTCATTGCTGTAAACGTAATCTGAAAAAACGTGATCGAATGTGGTCCTGACGTTAACGGTGAGGGTCACTATTAGGAGATGGTGGAAATCACGAGCGACACTTTGTGGTCTGACAGGGCGGTATCTACTTCTCTCGAATCTCATCAAAATTTTGCGTTATCATTTGGATTTTGAAGTCATGGATACTCAATTTTTATTCGACGAATATTGAATCATGCGGATTTGAATATGAACAAACGAAAAGTTTTGTTATTGGCCGCGGAAGATAGCGGTCTAGATTCGAATTTACCTGGGTATGAGAATGTGGTGAAAAATGTTATTCATGACTTTTTCCACATGAATGCACAAGTACCACCTTGGTTAGATATGCCCACCGCGCTAAAATAGGAAAATGTGGGAACATCACAAGAAGCTAAGACATCAATCTGTAGTATGTGTCTGGATGTTGTTCTAGTCCACGAGGGACATAGATCGATTACGAAACTCGTATGCGGACATTGGTTCCACTTTCATTGTATTGCTTCAGCTTTCATGGCAAAAGGAGCAATAGAGTGTCCCAACTGTCGGCATGTAAAGAAGTAGCATTGGTTTGGTGCCAACGGATAGTGGTTGAGATGACAATCCACATGTTGTAGAATCTGAATATATGAGGACTAGATTCTGTGCTTTGGAAATAGTAAGCTATGAGCTTTGAAAAGTTGTAGCATTTTTTATATGAGATGTTTCTTTCAATGAGGCCTAGGTCATTGAAAGAGGGAGAGAGTTCTCAAGCTCTCTGTCATGATCCGCTCACATATATGGTTGTGGGGAAGTTTGATTGTTATACGATTAATGATCAAGAAGGTAGAGCACCAGTAGTGATGGAGATGTTCAGCACATGATTGAGCTAGTCAAGATAAACTCAATCCAGCAGATGTGTTGACCAAAGTTTAGGCACAATCTCTCAAAAGTTTATACTTTTGAGAGATTTAGGCGACATTGTGCCACAACGCAGGTTTTGCATGCAAGAACAAGTGGAGTTTTGTTGAGTTACCTCTATATGTTATTACTCTATCCTGTTATAGTACTAATAATATAGGTTAGAGAGGTGACTGAAATTCCTTAACATAAGTTAAGGTGGAAATTGTTGAGTTACCTCTATATGTTATTACTCTATCGTGTTATAGGAGTAATAATATAGGTTAGAGAGTTGACTGAAATTCCTTAACATAAGTTAAGGTGGAAATTGTTGAGTTACCTCTATATGTTATTACTCTATCCTGTTATAGGACTAATAATATAGGTTAGAGAGGTCACTGAAATTCCTTCACAAGAGTTAAGGTGGAAATTGTTGAGTTACCTCTATATGTTATTACTCTATCCTGTTATGGGAGTAATAATATAGGTTAGAGAGGTCACTGAAAGTCCTTGACAAGAGTTAAGGTGGAAATTGTTGAGTTACCTCTATATGTTATTACTCTATCCTGTTATGGCTACGGCTTAGTTCTAGTTAACACTTGTTATGAAGAGGGGCCTTATGTTAGGTTTCTGTCTAGAACTTCCCGCGGAGTATATAGGTTAGAGAGGTGAGTGAAATTCCTTGACATGAGTTAATGTGAGATTGTTGAGTTACCTCTGTATATTATTACTCTATCTTGGTATGAGAGTAATAATATAGGTTAGAGAGGTGAGTGAAATTCCTTGACATGAGTTAATGTGAGATTGTTGAGTTACCTCTGTATATTATTACTCTATCTTGGTATGAGAGTAATAATATAGGTTAGAGAGGTGAGTGAAATTCCTTGACATGAGTTAATGTGAGATTGTTGAGTTACCTCTGTATATTATTACTCTATCTTGGTATGAGAATAATAATAAAGCTTAGAGAGGTGAGTGAAATTCCTTGACATGAGTTAATGTGAGATTGTTGAGTTAACTCTGTATATTATTACTCTATCTTGGTATGAGAGTAATAATATAGGTTAGAGAGTTGACTGAAATTCCTTGACATGAGTTAAGCTGAGATTGTTGAGTTACTTCTATATATTATTACTCTATCTTGGTATGAGAATAATAATATTGGTTAAAGAGTTTACTGAGATTCCTTAACAGGAGTTAAAGGGGAGATTGTTGAGGTTAACTTCGGTTAAGGAGTAACCTCACGTTTAGCTATTTATAGCTGAGAATGGTCGCCGGTGTTGGGAATATATATCCAGGGTCTGTATGTTACTTGACAGAACGTTCAGTATACTATCACGATGATATTCCCCGTGGACGTAGCTCTTGAGAGGGTGAACCACGTTATATTAGGTGTCTCATGTTGATGGATTGGCTGGAGTATCAAGTTTTACGTTTACATTCTAGACTAGATGTTACTTTATTTATATATATCAAAACATAATGAAATTTAATCATATAAAATAACAACCTAATTGAAATTCCTTTATATTTAATACACATGCAATACATCCAATAAAATATATTTTTTTCAATTTACATAAGTAAATTGTAAAAAAATATTTAATAAATGAATAGATATACAAATAAATAATGAATCAATTGCATTGTAATCTCCGATGCATAATTTTGGATAAAAAAACCTTATAAATTTGCAGTTTTCAAGACTCAATTTAACAAAATATAATATATTCATCAAAAATATTTTTGATTATAATATAGATATCATATTATATGATTAATTTAATATATAATCAAATGGAATTATGTATTTTATTATACTATGATTAAATAATTATATTAATTTAATCATATATATTAAATATAATTAATTTGATAATAAGTTTTTAGTAATATTATATTATATACATATAAATTTATAATAAAAAATAAATCTAAACACAAATTATAAAAAATTTACATATATTTTCAAAAATTTGCTTCAATTGTAAAGCAATTTTTTTGTAGATACACATGAATTGATACAACTTTGATAAGTATCAAAAATGTATCAAAATTGTTAAGATGATTTTTTGAATGTTTATTTTATTTGACTAAACTTATATTTTGATAAGATTTCACTTGCAAAAATTGTAACAACAACATAAACATTTCAAAAAAAAATTTGGATTAAAATTTTTATTGCAAAAAGTAAAATATTTTTAAGTATTGCGATTAACATATGTAATTATCACCATTCTATTGCTATGTTATAATACAATTATAAGATGATGAAGATTATAATTTGAATTGTTTGAAGTTGATGCTGAACAAAAATTTTAATCAATGCAAAAGTAACAGACTAGAGATGGATAATATGACAGTTTTAAAATTTATTACAATCATTTCAAAAACCAGAAAAATAACAATATAAATTTTAAATACCGAAAATAACTCCTTTGAAAAAGCACAAAATTGAAAAGATTAAATAGCAAAAGTGCCAAAACATTAAAATACTAAAAATTCATAAAAATAATAGTAATTTTTTAAAAAAACTCATAATGTTAAAAAATTTAATACTAGAATAAGAATTAAAAACTTTGAAAACTCTCAAAGTCAAAGTTTAGAATTTTGTAATCTTGGCACAAACTCATCTCTCTTTGATGTGACGCTATTCTTTGTATTATAAAACCAGTTAGTTTTTATGTTTTGGGCCCTTATGTAGACTAAAGATCAAGCCACGTGACCAGCAACGGCAATGAACTCGCGTCTGTCATTGGCCGACCAGCTCTCCCCTTAATGCATGGGAGGGAGAGGCAGTTTAGGTTATCCTAGTTGGCAAGGAAACCAGGTGCTGCAAAGGTTCTAAAAACCTTGTGTTTTGGCGTCCATCAAAGTTACGAAGATTTCCTTGACTTCCTACCAAAATAAATCTTTGGACATAAGTGTCCATTATAGAAAACTCTATGGTACAATGAAGAGGGGGCAAATTTCAATAAAGAGCACATGGAATTGAGGTATTGGAGGTTAGGTTGTGAGATATTTTTGGAATCTCTATGCGGACAAAGAGTTTGTTGGGAGCAAGGGAGGTTGCTCCTCTCTCTTGACATATTTGACGAGGGATTTGTTGCAACAAGAGCTTCTTGACTAGTTGTCACTACGAAAGCAGGCGGTGTGTTGTGTGATACAGGTAGTTGGATTAACTCCAACGGGCGGAGTCAGGCCTACAGTAGCCAGCTGATCTCCTACCCATGTACTTAGTGCCGGCTGCTGATCATGTGGCAGCGGCCCAATTATCCAAGTAGAGTCAAATGAAAATGAAATGAAATGAAACGAGAAAGATTGTCAATTTTTGTGAATTTTTTACGACACAATATACATATTAAAATTAAAATTCTTATTCTACTTGATGAAGATAACAATTAGAAATAGTGAATTGTTATTTCTATTTTTCATATTATGAAGCTGAATTTAATATTATAATTAGTTTATCCTTTAACTTCAAATTCTTTTAAAAAAATATCAAATCAATCAATTTTTTCAATTTTGAACTTTACACGTAATTCATCATTGACTCATCTTAATTTTTTGATTGAATATTTTTATATTGAATATAATTTAATTAAATATTTAAAATTAAATCAATATATTTATAAAAATGTTACCATTTTAATATTTTTGTTGAAATTTTTTCTTCTATTCTTTTAAATATATGCTTAGTTTTTAGATCAATTTGATATTTTTCTTCATTATTATAAAATAATAAAATTTTCAACAAAATACTATTGCTTGATCGTTTTTTCAATGTCATTTTGTTTGTTTGGTTTTCTCATTGTTCCTTTTCAATTCATTATTTACCAAAATCATCATAGTTTTGTATATTCACAGTTTTGTGAATGTAGCTCTTCACTATTTGAGTTGTTGACGCTTTAGCCTTTCATCACTTTGCAATTTTTTACTACATGTCATTCTCTTTTTTTTGGCCATTTTAGCACTTTGCTACATTTGCGTTTTAGCAGTTCACAAATTTGCCATTTTGGTATTTTTTTTTGTACTTGCTCAGTCCTTTGTTTGAAAGTGGAAGGAAATCACGTTTCAAAAATCCTCAGTCCTAACGGAAAAGAAATATTTGGTGTGTTTTCCTGAATTAGGCAGAGTTTCACATCCAATCACACTAGTTTGATTGAATATCATCATGAGGAAGTTAGTAGAACAAGTTTCAAAGATTCTAAAGACTGTCTTATGTTCGCGAGCCAGGTCCTATGAACCCGTATTGCCTCCTCTGAACTGCTATTGTGTATCAGCATCGGTTATCATGTCATATAATATGCTCCATCTTCGGCTTGCCTAAAAGGGGGGACTCTAGATTTCAGACTTGTGCGAGTCCATTCACTTGCTGCCTTGAATTACGAGGACATCAGGTGTTTTTTTTATGTAACGTAGAACTGACCACATTAGAAATCTTGTGGGTAGACATAGTGAAATAGCAAAAAGGATGGGACTTCCGCATCATAAAGCCCTACAAATGTACTGTATATACAATACATCCTCAAAGACCTGATTCCTGATGATTCATCAGGATAATTACATACGACTTCATCATTGGTGAAGTCTTATGTAATTCTCCACCTGGTGGAGAATTACATAAGACTTCTCCACCTGAATGCTTTACCACCTGGTAAAGCATCTATAGTATGCACAATGTCATCAATTCAGCCCAATAAGACATCTACCTCTGGACAAGGAAAGATGGATCTAAATGAATAGTGATATCAATTGTATATGAAAACAAAGGAATGCATCTTTAACCGAGACAAGAAACAAAACAAACAGGATATCAAGGTCTAGGCACCCGAAAATTATGCCCCATAACAACTACTGTATCCCATGTATCTATGTCTAATCATGTAGAGCAAACGATTTCGCATCAGGTAACGTGATGGGTTCAAGATTCACGTTCAAGGTCTTCGGAATCTTCACGTCCTATCTTTTCGGTTGGACAGAAGCAGTTTCGTTGCATCTGAATGATGTTTATCAAGATCCTCTACAAGATTTGAGCCAAATTTGGCTTGGATAAAGCATATGGTAGAGAGATAATGCTCGAAAAGGACGGAAATTCGGCGAAATAGAAGCAACCTCATTCGATTGACGTCACCTTTGCCATCAGTCATGTGAAATCGAAGGTATTTTTTAAAGGTCTCGATCGTTGACACTCGATTGTCATGACTCTCTGGCTCTTTCAACGGATGCAGGTCACTTCTCACTGACACTTACTTCAAACAAGTTTGGAAGACGGTTGCGAAGTGCATGGCGACGGGATTACATCCATTCCCGGCGATGGGAGAGAGGATGTGTCCTGTGAGACTTCCTCTCGTGTCGATGTTGTATCCGCAGGAAAGCTCATTTCTACTCGCTGGAATTTTGAAGAGTAACATCAGAATTGATCGTCTGCATGAGGACTCTATGACACTTGATCATCAACGACTCCGCACGTTGTCTGTACGTAATTGAAGGCAAGGCGTCTGCCGTGACGCGAACCCAGTGTCGTGAGTTCTCACCGTGAGCGACTACAATACGACTTGCGAAGGATGATTCCATTAAAAACGCAGCAGGACTCACGGTTGAAGACTTGGGATGTAGGCGCACAAGCGCCTTCATTGTCGCGAGGAGCCGTGTTGAGTCCGGTGGTGGTGGACAACGAGAGGTGCGCAATTGTGACGGGATGTACTGATGAAGCTAGGTGAAAGGTACTACACTTCCAATGAGACCCTAAACGCCTGGATCATCTCGGTCAGAAGGCGTGGAAAACCTCCGGAGGACTAACATTTGCTTCTGAAAGCTCAAGTGAATCGTTATCTCGTTATACTAGTTGCAAACTTCAGGCAGCGATCCATCTCATCACTCAGCGCACGATAGGACAACGTGCCATTGAGTGGTGTACTAGGAAGCAGCGATAGGGATTTCCGAGAGCCTTAGCTGGCGGTACAGTGGAGACGAGCTTTCCTGCACGAACACCACACCCTCCTTCAAGCGTCACGAGTTCCCGGTGATTTCTTCCATCCAGGGTCAATCTAGCTCGCATTCTTTCAGACGGAGGGCACGGGGGTACATAAATGACCTTCCAAAACAGTAGAGAAAATTTGATGGGAGTTAGACTTTTCGCCTCCTCGAAAATTCCATGGAGGAAGAACTACTATTGCCGCTGCTATAGTCGTCACGTACTACTGGCTCTCATTGACAGCCAAGGATGTAGAACAGTTCCCGCGAAAAAAGCCAATACAGGTGCATGAGCTGTTGGTTCTGAACCATAACAAGAAATGATCTGTGCGGAAGCAGCAATGGAGATAACGTCCTTCTGGGCCCACGAGGAATATTCAACGTCACTGGAAGCCAACCACTTTCACGGTACGGAGCTTAGCCTCATCAGTGGCACAGGGTAAGACGAACGCCGAAAGACATTGAGTGAAAGTATGCATCTCCTATCCAATATTGCTGGGAGCCACAGACAAGACTTCGCAAGACAGGATCCAACGAAAGCCATAGTTCTCAGATCAATGCCTCTACTCGGTGCTGCAATCCAGCTGGATATGAAGCTCCCAGCCAAAAGGCTGAACGATTGCAGGAGCAGGAGAAGGAAAACGACAGTAAGGGTTGCGTGAGTGATGCGCCTAGCTGCTTTCCTGCATGTTCTGTCTCTTATTAAATGCCACTCACCCTCATTTACAGCTTCATCGCTGCTTCCATGGCAATGAGCCCTTCAATCTTGCTCATGATACTTAGTTCCCAGTCATACAAGATGTCAACAGAAGGGCCACAACTGTGCTTAAACTCCGAAGTCCTGTGCACTGATGCTCTGTTAATCATTACAGGTGATGTACAGCTAGCTCATACGCAATCTGGGAGGTTGCCCATGATACTTCATTTCCTGCGAATGCCTGCAATCAGGCATTCGCAGGGAACAAATGACCTGCATTACAAGACTCCGAGAACAAGGCGAACAAGGCCGTGAAAGGCGAGAAGACTGGTGGACATAAGAGGAACAAAACCATCCAGAAGAAACTCAAGTGAAAATGACGAAAGGTTTACTCTTACTGCCCCCACTTGTTCAATTCAAAGAATCTAAGATACATTCGTATTAAGTAGGTATGGTAAGATCTGGTCTCTTGTAACACCAACACCCTTTCCTTCGATCGGTCGTTGAATGCAGATCGGCCCTAGTGGCAACGGCTCCTTCAAAGGTGTAATCTTGCTTACAATTGACCAGATATCAGATGAGCTACAGAGACCAAAGAATGCTAATGAGGGATTTGAGCTGACTATGTTGACATCCTCCGCAACAACATATAGTGAAAAACAAATCTTCCTGTTAGATGCGCGCCACTCCTCGTATCACTCCACATACGAGCCGAAGCATCTGCCCACAGATTCGTTCCTTCAACAACGAACCTCGCTCAGGCTCCAGATCTCGTCCTCATATTTTTCTTCCACCCTATGCCAACTATCTTTCTCTGCTTCCTCTTCGTTCATCGTACATATTGTGCACGCATTCCGTGCTAGTCACACACCTGCTTGACACGCTCAATCAATAAGTGCTCTAGAAAAGGTAAGCTCTTCCACTCCTCCAACGAATGAGCCGCTGCTGCTACAACCACGAGCGAGATCCTAAGGAAACACGCTCGTTAGTGGCAGGGCGGAAGAGAACAGAGGAAGAAAGGTCACAGTCGAGGAAGGTTTGACGTCGTCCTCGAATCGGAGACAGGGTCGGAATACTAGACAATTATAAGAGAGATAATCAATGGGCATCATCCTCATGGCCACCTCCTTAGCGGTGGCTATTATAGATCCATCGAAGCTATATATGCAGCTTGTGACACGAGCTAGCTACTCTAGCTAAAGGCTAAAATCTGTTTTCTTTTCCACACTAATCGGTAAGAAAGTTCTGTACATCATATCACATCAGTCAGTCGACCCATCGATCCAATCGTAACTTTAATTGAAGAATTGATACACGTCTCTCTTGTCAACGTACTAAATATTGGAATGAATGAAATGTTGCCCGATCAGGGCTCTCTCTCTCTCTCTCTCTCTCTCTCTCTCTCTCTCTCTCTCTCTCAAAGCAGGCTCCCGTCCGCTGCGCTCGGTTGGTTTTGATGATTTGGATTGGTTTTCCGTATGTATGGCAGCCGTGATAAGCCCTACCTGTTCCCGACCCGCCCATGCCCATCTGGGCAGCATAGCCTGCCCGGGCACAAAAGGCGACGTGTACCACGAAAGAAGGGTACTCTATTTACATCTAACCGCCTGATTTCGTTCGAGGTTTTAACAATCGCCCTCCACGTCCAGAGCAAATGCACGCATAGGCTGTCACTGCAAAATGGTGTCAGAAATGGCCAGCAGAAGGTCGGCCGTATCCTCCTGGAATTTCCGGGCGAATAGATATTGGCCCCCATCTTTGCTCTGCAAGTCCCGAATGAGCTCTTGGTTGATCTCGTAGCGTTGGTAGAACAGCGGGTGCTCCGAAACCCACGTCGGCCAGTTGACGTACGTCACGCACTTGCCGTTCGCGCCGTCTGCGTCCACGATGTTGATCAGAGTGTGGTAGTAGTGCTCGTCCGTCCCGCAGAAGTAGATGATGCACTTGCGATCGAACTTGTTCCAGTACTTGTTCTCGTACTGATCCTTGAGCACGATCAACGCGTGCTTCCGGATGAACACGTACCACTGCGCTCCCTTCCTGAATTTCTCGAACGGTATCTCCGGCATCATGATTGCGGCCCCTCCTTCGCGCCCCCTGTACCTCTCCTCCATCACCGTCTCGTTCGTGATCTGCTCGATGAAACTCTGTCGCGACGCTGTTATCATCTGGTACCCGTAGTCGAAGCTTCGGATCGGAACGCAGCTGCCGGACACGAGCGCGAAGTACTGATTCAGCGGGTCATCCAGGATGGCATTGGCCAGCAGCCTCTGCGAGGCCACCACGAGCGATGGGCTGCCCCTGTCCGCCTTCCCGCTCGAAATCATTCGCCCGAAGAAGACACTGGACTTGTCCGTGAAGAGGTTCGCGTTGAAGGGATCGGCGTGCACGTAAATATTGTACAGACCTTCTTTGCCCTCGAAGTACTTGTTCCACAGCGCCTCGAAGGGCAGCGCGGTGGTGATCATAAACATGTACGCAATCTTCACCCTGGCCGTCGCGCCCGAGCTTTTGCCGCAGACATGGTTACAGGGAACGCGGCCGCTGCCTTTGCGACGGTTTTTGAGGGTGGGATTGTAGACTGCGGGATCGGCTTGCATGCATTCCGCCTTGGCCGAGTACGGATTCGTGGTGGCAGTTTCTTGCTCCACCGCTCGCCTGATCACTTCCTTGTCGTTCCAGCCGTGTAGCAAGGGCGCAGCTCGCTGCGACTTTTCCCAGTTCATCTCGTCAATGGCACACTTGCAACATTTGTCCTCTTCCTCGTAGGTAACCTCGTCGATTGTGTGAGGTTCATCGGCGTTGGAAACCAGGTGACTGCTGGCATCTGTATGAGTAATTGGCAAGGCTATGGTCGTCAAAGCAGACACCTGATCCAAGGGAAACGTGTAGGCACGTTCACGAAAATTCGGAAACGAGGGGTTGAATGGTGGTTCACTGCACCATTGCCACACCAAGAAAAAACTGAAACTCAAGATAGACACTAATGGGACCAACGACGCTGTGTCGAGCCAGAATAGCGCCCTCGGAGACTTCATCGAGGCTGGACTTTTACTGCAATCCTTCCTTCGTTCCTTCTTTCAGTTCTCCGGCAGCTGCTGCTCCAAATCCCTTTCCTCAGTGCAAGCTGTAAATCCTCGCTGTTTCTATCTCTCTATTAGCAACCGGAACAAATATCCCAGACCATCTGTTTCGCGGTCAGTCAGGCAATCTGACGACCACGTTGAAGACCTCGACGACTCCGGACCGGAACGTAGGTCAGTTTAGCTCGAGGTCGATCGATCTAGTAATGCAACAGAGAGTCGTTACCCTGCGTGCATGGCGAAGGTCTCATAGCATGCCAGACCAGGCCACGAGCGACTGCAACCGACTCTCTTTGCACGAGAGCACGAACAGGGAGAAGTGCCGCGGAAGGGAAAGAAGAGGAAAGTCGACCGATGTGCTCCGCTCGAAGGAGATTCACCGCAGTCTCGCCAGACCACCCTGCGAGACGACAGAAGCGGACACCGCAGGAAAGCTCGCGCTTCGAGCAACGACTAACAAGAATCACATCGAGTCGGCTTCTGATGAGTTCGTCCCGCACGCCGAGCATGAACGTATCAAGCTTCTGGACGCCGCCCACGAGCAAGCACCAGAAGCTCGCTCAGCTCAGCTCCCTACTGCGTGACACACAACTAAATCTCCCGAAACTCCACCTCGACATATACTGCCAGCCTCCTTGCTAGGCTTGCCCTGCCTTCCCTTCTCCTCCTCGCCTATCTCCCTCGTCTCTCCCACTTCCTTGCCTGCTGCTCCCTGGCCCCCGCGAGCTTCCCCTCCTTCCTTCTCACAGATAGATGCCCGGATTCCTCATAATGTTGTAATCAGCTAACGTGATTAACTTTGTTCCTCCCAGAACCAAACAAGAAAAGCAGTCGTGTACATGCTCTGCCTCCGGGCAAGACTATAAACTCGGGCACACCTCAGCTGATGAGCTCAGCCGAGCTCTCGTGATGGGAATCCTGCGAATCGAAATAGGTACAGTGGTGTGCTGGTGCGGCTCTCTCATCTCAACCTCCACCTCAACCTCAAGTTCAGCTCCGCGAAGCGTAGCAGCCCAACTGACAGAGCAGGAGCAGCAGCAGGAGTCGCAGCAGGAGAAGGAGGAAGAAGTTCGAGGACGAGGGGTACCTGCTGCTGTTGCGGAAGTGGAAAGTAGAGGCCCGCGACGACTGCGGCGAGAGAAGAGAGAGAGAGAGAGGGAGGGAGGGAGGGAGGGGGAGAGAAAGACCCGCAAACTTTTTACTCAAGAACTGGCGATCGAAGTAATTGCGGGGGGCTCAGACCTGCCGTCCACTTTTTCCTCCGTTCGGTCCGATTTGCAGCATCATTTGGTCCCTTGTCGGCCACTGGACAGGTCTCGCCCTCTCCTCCCCAACGGACGTTCTCGTACCTCTGTAACCTACTAGCAGTCCCAGCCACTTGAACGGGAGAAAGTCCTCTGCGCGTGTGGTCCTTTGGTCTGGGGACAGCCGGGACACTAGAACTGGATCGGCTCTATCTTTGGGGGCTTGCCCAAATACGTACAGCAGGAGAAGCGTATCTCCATTTGTCCGAGGTCTCTGCCGGCTCATCTAGCCGACAGTTAGAGCCGGACAACTTGAACACGGTCCTCAGTTGGGACAAAGACCGCCCAAAAATGGATTCCCGTGTCCACGACGGCATTGGCGCCTTCTTCCGGACAAACCCTCGGTCAAATTAAGCAAGGGGAGCTTTCGCTGGTGGCGCCAGTGGCCCGTCGCCCACTCCGAAGGAAGGAACCGGTGGCTTTCTTGTGTAAGTGGCTGTAATTAGCTGTTGCTGGTACGCTGCCCCCCGCCGTTTGCTGGATCTGCTCGGCGTCCACGCAGCAAGAAATTCTGGCCGGAGCCTGAAATTAGCGACCTGTTTGCTGATGGGGGCGTGCCTTGTAATTTTCTCTGAATTCCACAATTCTGATTACAAATTCCTCTCCGCTCCGATCCGGATAACAACCCCGCAAACTAATCTCAAGAAGCTCGGAGACTAGACGGGTAATGCGGTGCTATGCCCCAATATTACCCGTTTGGATTTATACTTGTGTGACTCGATGGGTCTTCCATCCTCTTTGGTACTTCACTTTGTTCTCGGATTGGGGAAGATCGGAGATCTGGAGGAGGGAGAAAACCTTAGTTCAACTCAACCTGTTGCCTGTCGTCAATCCCCCTGTGCTGTGTCCGCATGCCTGGTACAATATATTGTAGATAGGTACCGGCTCCCGGCCTAATGATGACCTGTTAGACTGACCGAAAATGGGGGCAAACAGCGATAAGTCCGGACCTTCGACCTGGAAACCAAGGAACTCAATCGTCCTTACTCTCGTTCCGGCCACTGCGTTCACATTATAAAAGGCAGACCGGTTCGTCTGGCTTTTGAGAATGTGAACGCAGTGACCTTTCTCTGTACAATAGTTGCAGACAAGTGAAACTACTTCCGTCCATCTGAAAGTGTCATCGAGTTGCAGTCAATGCAGGCCATGTCAATGCAACGGACTCATTCATGATACTGGCAGGAACTATCTCCGGTATATCTGGAAGTCTGAACCCGGTCCTGGATCTAACTCTGGCTAATCAGACCGAGGTGGACAACTTTGTTGATTTGTAGGGCAAACTTGTCCTACTATTCATCTCAAGCAGATACAGTAGACAAGCTCATGAAATATGGCAGGTGATGATCCATTCTCGGAAACAAGGTCGTTGAAAGTCGAGATAATTATTCGTGCAGAAGGGTGCATTGTAGTATGGTATGGTTGAAGAGATATGTGAGAACGTTAGGAACGAAACGAAGATTAGAACAACACTAGGATGATGGTTTTGCATGTCCGCAGAGTTAAGGTCTTCATCAGCAGTCACAGTCTCTATTAGTGTTAGCACTGTAGATACCTGGTTCTTATCCATTCAGGTGATTTACTGCTAACAAAACTTGGGCAAGCCTTCTCGTGTGATCCGTTTTACTCGCAGGTATCAACATCATGGACTAGTGATCGGAAATATATATTTTAAAGGTGCATCTAGAGAGACAGGGGACACAATATTCCCACTCCCACAAGGAACCGAGTAATACAGCAAGAAGGATGGGAAGAAGTATTACATGGATGAAACCAAAGGGGACATGATGGGGCTAGGCGCCGGTAACATCCATGTAGAAATATGTACTGCTCTACCTAAAATAGCATAACTGTCTCCGTCAACAGAATGCAGTGATCTTCAACCAGAGTAGTGCGTTCGTTTCATTATCTTGCGGAATTACAGTTCATACAACTTTGTTTAGCAAGACACCTTCAGAGTATCTCGACGGACGATCATGTAGACTCTGTTCTTCTTAACCACTATCTAAGGACGAGGAAAATTTTCATTTGTCTCTCTAGAGGGGAATAAAAGTACGAAAGACAACGGTGTTCATGGTGAGAAACGTCTTCACATGAAAGACTGGAGGTAATGTTGTACTTCATGACCACAATTCTGGTCGGACTCAAACTGGAAAATTTGGTACTTATCATGAGAACTGTAGCTCGGACCGTTCAATTTAGCTGAGTTTGTTCAGTAAAACTTGAAGCAAGGTAAAATTCATAAATTCGGCCTACATGAGGTTGCCATTTGGGCTGGGTAACACGAATCTACTGTCTTCAAGTCAAGCTGCTACCTAAAAAAAAAATTTCGAGACTTTTGTGAGATGTTTCCATCTGAACTAAATTCTCCAACCAAGAGCTCAATAAATTGGCTATGGCATGGTAGCTTAAATTAGGAGTTGCCAACGCACCCCTTCTTTCCATCAAACAGTTATTGCTTTGGAAAGGGTTATTAAAAGAAGAAAATAAGAGCCAATATATCAATATTCTTCCAGCACAGTATAAGAAGGTAGTATTGCGATTTGTTTGGGGTCTACTGTTTGCGAAAGCTCAAGCCCACGTTGATATAAATGGAATCCTTTAGCCTGGATTCAACTTTTGATTGTGTGTGTGGTTTTGAGTATTAAGATCGAATAGATTGGGAACCTTTTGAAGCAGCGGTGAGATTCTGAGATGAAGCTTTAAATGTGAAAGCAGGATTAATTAAAATAAATGGCCTCAAATCATGATTCTCAGTTCCCATGATGACATGTTATAAAATTCTCTATGTAATCCACTGCACAGAGCAATATGGGTCCACGCTGTGCATGACAATGATTGCATCATGGTATAGGAAAGAGTCAAAGCGTTCGTTCTCATCCTCAGTGTGCTCGAGGTTTTACTCACGAAAGGTTTGTTGTAAAGTCACACGATTCTCGACGAGACAAACATGCTCCACTAAAACAGCAACAAACAACGTGCTGCAAGGTAGGATTGATCTGTCCAATATCATGTGTCCCTCCCTTCCTCCTCAATTATTCAAACCAGAGGAAAAATCAATCCAATAAATTCCCACCACTTTTCACTTCTATATAGACATTCCGAGTGGTTGAACTATGAGCGATTGGTCCATTTGCTTTGTGGCCCATCCTTTTTCTTGCTTTATCACTTTTTCAACACCAAAAGGGACACAGTACAGAGCAAGTTACTATCCGCTTTAAACTTTACGGAAGATCCTCATCGGTGTTTTGAGACAGATTTACCTTTGAAGTATGGAGGGTGTATCTAGCGGATGGAAATCACGCACTGAGATTCTTCTCCTTCTTGGAATATAAAATCTAGAATCTGAGAAGAGGAAAGTTGTAGGTACTCAGATCATAATAGCCAACTGAACAAATAATGGACGTCATGGGCGATTTCTAGTCTTCACTAATGGTCATAACGTAGAGGTCCCTGATCTTTTTCTCTTTACCAAACGGCGAAAGATTCTCCATTCTCTCGATTGGAGGGGATGACCAAAACTTCTCAAAAATCATGTAAAGGCAAAGGCTAGGTACTCACTCACCCACAGCATTTTTGCATGGCTCCCATGTTCTCTGTGCAAAAGTTGCGCAAGTTGTTGCCAACAGAAGACATGCGAAAGGAGTCAAGCGAAGTGTCGTTGCTAGTCAAGCCAGGTGGTGCTTCAGTTCGGTGTATCGATTCCCTAGGTCCACCACCAGGAAGTTATGCTTGACATGGAAACACTCACAGTCTGGGCTATCTGGACCTGGAGATATATAGCTTCAACAGTCGTGCAAAAATATAACAATTCGTTTGAAACGCTCAAATTAGCATATTTCCGTTTGACACTATCGGGATTTCGTCACTAGCATGCCAAGCTAGATCTCTTCCAATGGGCTTAAGGCCCAAATCCCACTGATGATACATAAATCGCCTGGACATGAGCGAGCAACCCTCAGATGTGAATTTTGAACAGGTTTTCAGTCACTTGTCTTACTGTAGTTTACATAGCATATTATTTTTTTAAAGGGAATGGAACCAAACCAAAGAGAGAACTTCTGACTCAAAGGTGAAGCCCCATGTCTTGTGTTCAATTCACCGCGAGAGCTCTGTCCTCTCTGCTTCCAAGAGGGAGGTTCATTTCAGGCATAGTGTAAGGAGTAGATTTCCATGTAGAATGAGGGAACGAGAGTGGGTGAAAGTACTCATGAACGGGGCGGTGTTTGGAGTGATTTTTTTCTTGTAGAGAAGTGAGGCATGCATATATCATATGGACAAAGAGGAGAATATATGCCTCGCTTCTTTACAAGAAAAAAATATACCAGATTTTTCTCTATCCAAAAATCTTGGATATCTGGTGGATTCTTGGATAAGAATAATTTGATAAAAAAATTTGATAGTTCAAGAGTTCCTTTGCACTCAACCGCCTTGTTCTTCTTCTTCCGCTGATGGGAAGGAAAGATACATCAGATACATATCAAGACCGATGCACCAACAAGTCGTAGAATTATGAAGTCTTGCAATGTTGTCTGATAAGTGTTCGCGTCATGATCGGCTGGATCGACACCTCAAGTCGAGATTGATGCGAGTGGAAACGCTTAGACTAAGTGATTGTAAATAAAGAATGTAATAGCTTGGAGAATGTATGACCCACCTCTAGATTCCAATCCCAGTGGTGGCCCTTAGCCGACCTCATTGGGGACGGACGTTGGACTTTGACGGGTGTACACCGAGTCCAAACTACAAATCATGCCAGGGACGCCAAAGAGAAGTTTCGCTTATTAAAGAAGAATCTATACAAATGAAAATCTGGTCGTGGGCGTGTATTGAATAATTGTGTGCTATCCAGGTATTTTGCTGTAGACTGTGAGACACCAAGACACCATGGAATTATATAAAATCTGAAGTTCCTTACGTGTCCCATCAAATTATTACACGGGGTTCGAGGATTAATTTTTCTAATTGAGGATCCTTGTGCATAACCAGCTTGCATACAAGCGAAGCGTGGACCATGACGAACTTGGTCCCAAGACTCCAAGTATGAATTTCGTGTCGAGACTTTGAAGGATAGAGTGCAAATAGAACAGAAAGAAAAAAAATCCGCGCGTGACAGAAACGAGCAGCAGACGTGACCAGGATCCATCCGTTACTGGAACGGAAGGAAGAACGTACAGAACAGAAAGCGAGAGATGGAGACAGCGAGAGGCAGATGGATGGAGGTGAAGGGGAGGAAGAAAGCGATGGACGCAGGCTAGAAGGTTTCGTCGTTTTCTCAGGTCCTTAGGATGTATGCGGGCATCCATCGATCCAGCACTACCCCACGCGGGCCGCTGCTGCTCGGCTCTGGCCTGCTGCGCATGCTGCGAAAGCAAATGTCTCTCATCATCATCCTCGACTCCTTTCACTTTCGTTCTGCTGCTCGTGGCCCAGACGGCAGAGGCTGAGGCTGGGGTTGGGACGTGGACGTGGCGTTCGTGTCGCTGGCTGCGGGGACCTTTCTCTGCTTTCTTATATGTCAGTGATTGCGAATTTCAAGACGGGGAGGATAGGTTTAATGGCCACGTTTACGTGGTTCAATCCACAAATTTGTTTGTTTGTTTGTTCGACTGCTGCTGGCTGGCTGCCCTCGTTCCTGGCTTGCCTGATCCTCGAAGAATTCTTATGATATCGATAGTAGCGCGCGTGAGGCCGAGAGACAGGGTCCTGGAGGAGCAAGATTGGCAATTGTTGGAAATGGTGCAGTTTTCTGACTTTGAATATATCCTGTTTCTGATTTGTATATCCTTAGATTAAGTCATAGGGAAATTGTCGTGGAAAATAATTGAGATTGCAGTGAGGAATGGAGGAATGGAGGAATGATCGACTCAGATGTCGCTGTGACGGACGAGAAGTCCTGAAGTCCTGAATTTCCAACTTGAGAGTTCGCTTTGAATCAGCTCTCATAAGATGCTAGTCTGACTCAAGAACCAGTATAATCTTCTATAGTTTAGTTTGTCAGTTCCCCGAGTCGTGGAAATGTTTGGATGTACGATGTCCTACGTGCGGTCTTTTCGACTTTGCATAGCTCTGTTTAGCTCCTTCTGCACTCTCTGCCGCTTTCATCGTGTGTAGCAAAATGTGTACAGTTGTTTCTGTGACATGTGTTCTGAGACATTGCTGTTACATTTCTGTTAGAGAGATTAGTCGTGCTTTATTTCTTGACTTTGGGAATGGGATTGAAGTCAAATGCATTCATCTGCCTCTCTTACCATTCGGTGGCTCGTGTACTCAATATACTTGACCTGTTATCATCAGATTCTTCTCATCATAATGCGCCTTACAAGAGTAGGACATTGAGATTGACTTCACATGGGGAGGAGTTTTATCTTTTTGTTTTATTTTGGTAGTTTTTTTCACCTCTTTTTTCTTTTCCAGCCGAAGTCTTTCTTTCCTTCTGTTAGCGCTCGTATGTGTTGCTTATGGCCCATGTTGACTCTTTGGGACCATGAAATGACGTGTTTGCTTGCGCCACATAAGTTTCAACTTCATTTACTAGAGGTTTTGTAAAGCAGGCTAAGGCGTTGACATGGAAGGACCTCTCGGAGGTACAGGTCCTCCAAATTCTTCAAACCCAGACGACATCCGAAGCTCGAAGGTTTGTCCTTAATTATCAAAGCCGCTCACAGATACAGTTCAAAGAGTGAGACAACCTACAGACTGGGAAGAACGGATTGGGTGTCGTTCATTTGGGTCTGCAATAGGTGGTTTAGTATTTGTCTCCTGTCTCAGTTGAAAGTTCTCTGAAGTATTGCATAATTAATAAATTGAATCGAAATACTTTTGAAACTTTTGATATTTTGATAACTTTTGTTAGTCTCTAAGAAACTTCAATTCCAAAATAATAGAGCCTTTGATTGTTGAGAATCGTTTGCTTACACGAAGTGGTCAGACAATGAAGAAGAAGACTGAGACTGATTGAACTCCCACGAACGAATTATATTCTGTATATTGTGTCCCAAGCAGGACTTTACAGCAAGCATTACAGCTGGAAGACAAGGAGGATGAGCTGAAAGCAGAAATTATGCTAGATCTGCATTTCAGCACGTTCTTGTATCATACTGCGTAAAGAGTCGTACTCAGTCGAGAGTCGAGTACCCCAAGTCCACCACTGTTGAGACGAAAAGTAATTGCGGTTTTGTTTTGACTTGGATTTTGATTCTTTGGATTATCCTATCTGCAATGGAGGATGACCCAGCATGTGACACGACCTACTCTTACTTTTCTTTATCCAAACAAAGCGCCTGCTTCTTCTTAACGTTAAGTCATATTATAAATCTTGTGACAAGTTTAGATCATTTTGACAGCATTCAGGTCTCGTTTGTTTGTTCACTTTAGCAGGATGTACATATTATTTCACGTTTGACAACCACATATACTTAATCGAAGAAAGCATCCGTTAAGTGTTAGGTCTTTTTTTCTTAGAATGGATATTACCGCCTAAACCTCCGTTAGGGTCTGTCTTTGTGTCATTACATGGCTTCCGAAAGAAATTTTTGATAAATGTATATGGCAAAGAGGTGAAGCACACGTGCATTGATGAGGGAAGGATCGATTCTGGATCACACTGTTTGTAACATTTTGAAGGAAGTCCTTTTTGCGCTGCTTCCGAAGAATGTACATGTCTTCGTGGAGTCAAATCAAGTACTACCGTATCATTGAAGACTTATCTGATGTTCAAGACTGCGAAGACGACTCTAAATCTGAAGTTCTTTTCCATGGAGGAAATCTTCTTCATGTTTTGAAGTCCTCTTCGAAATCTTGCTGTTATGGTAGGTTCCAGGGTTCAGACAAACGAGACGCCTCCTTCAGACAGGAAAAAATAACCATGTTTTCGGTAAAGGTCTCTTTAAACTTGAATTTGAAGATGCCTTTTTAATATTTCTAACATACTAGTCTCTCGATGGTAAAGGTTCATGTTTATTGCCTTTTCTTCTGCAGTCTTCTAGCAACTATGTAATGCAAAGCAATGTTTTCAATTTGGTGCCTCGACTCAATTTATTAGCGTTAGTATCATTGCGTCTTTCCTCCGAGACAGAAGATTTCATACCTGACTGGTAGAAAGATGAAAGTACTAAATGGGGTATGTGGAATCTTGATTAAGATAGACTTGGTCTTCTCCACTTGATTGAGATCACCTTAACAATCTAGAACAGATTTGCCCAGGAGCAAGGATTTTCTATCGAGAAAATATCTACTCTCGTTTCTATAGTCAAGGAAATTCATCAACAGTCTACAGGTTCTTCTCTATCCTCCTCCTTAAGGAACATGGGCCCGGACAGAATTTGGAGCTTAAAATTGAACATTTTTGGTACTCTGTTTCAGAAGGTGTGGTGCAGCTTGTCTTCACAAGCCGACGTATGCAACTACCTTTGGTTCCAATATTGGAAGTTGAGAAAATGATGCAATTTGTTGTTTCCAGCTGGTATCGTTGATCACTACAGAAAATCGGTTTACCGTGGCCAAGAGTTGGGAGTACTCCAAAAACCTCCTCCTGATGCACACCGTACAGCGGCCTCCATTTTCTACGGCTCTCTTTTCTCTCGGTGACCTTCAAATGATCACCCAGTACCTTCTGCACACGTACGTTATTCCAATGTGAGACATTTCCATAAAGTCATATGACTTTGAATCGATTCATTTTGAGTCGTTTAAGAAGTTGACGCCTTTACAGGAAGTAACTTGCCAGCGCCTTAATACCTCGATGCAATGAGTACTGTTTATGCGACCTGGTGGCCCTACTCTTACTCTTTCTGGACTGTGTGGCAGTTATTTTAAGCACTACAAATTGTATGTGTATGCGTTCACTCCAACCTATATTCTCGATGTAGAGACGATCAACGTAGATCTTTATGATTTGCCTCTGACCCTACCCATACTAAGGACGGCCGAAACCGAACAAGAAAGAGAGGCCCACATGGCTAAGTTACAGAAAGAGCTTGAGGTTTTTTCTCTTCTCATCAGCTTACCGTGTCTATTCTTATTTGCTCGTATCAAAATTTCCGGCTTCGTGTCCTGCGTAGTCTTCAATTGTACGCTCTCAAGGTCCTCCTGTGCCGCTGGCACTCATTCCATAGGATTTTGTGAGAAGCTGCTTGGTCTGTGTAGAATTTCTCTTTGGAGTGAAATAATCATATTTGACAACTCTTTGCACCTTCTTCTCGTAGTTGCTTGCCAGCTTATACGGTAATTTGTCATTAAGTTTTCGATTCTTCTGGACAATCAAACGCTGCAAGGGGCAGTACATGAGAAACCTTACAACTTGACTCCATTTCTTGTTTCCAGGATATTGAAAAGAAGCTAAAAGAAAGTGAAGAAATTGCACACGAAGCTGCCATTGCTGCAAGCATCGAGGCTGCATATCGGGGTGAGCTCAATCCTTCTTTGCTTCTCCTGATACGTTCGAATGTATACACTAGGGTCGCAGCAACACTCGGTGTTCCAGTCAGGTTGTGTGCTGGTTTGTGTTCTTATGGCCCCTTGGATGTATATTTATTTTTATAAATATGTGCATGCAAATGGAAATCTTATCTAAAGTAATAAGAAACTTCATAGCATGTCCGATACATAGTACACAGGACGCACACAGTATCTTCATTAAGAATAGTCGTCACTTGAAAGAGCTTTGAGTCCATGAAAGGGAGTATCATATGGTGAAGGTTGCTTGTATGATAAGTACTTGGATGTGGTTGTGAGCAATGCTTGCTATATGATGAATGTTACAGCAACTATTCCTTTGGAAGTGACGCAAGCCGCAAGTGAAGCTGTTTCCAAGCATCTGGAGCAAATGCGAAATGATATAGAAGAGAAGTTGCAACTTACGGAGTCGATGATCATGGGTAAGATAAAGGGACTTCCGTCAGTTAGCAGAGAGACTTCCCCAGACAAATCTCGAAAGGAAGCCTCACCTGGAAAGGTCAAAGAAGGGAAAGAAAAGGACAACCAAGGGAAGAAAGAAGGGAAAAAGCGCAAAGAGAAGAAGTAAGTTACTGGGTGAAAACGATTAATGATATGCGGCAAGAAAAGGTAAATAGAGTTGACGTCAAGCGGAGGTGCCCAGGTTTGGTAGAACATGTATCGTATGGTATATACATTTGTTCAACAGAATATCGTCGTATATATTCGCTTATCCAATTGCCGTCATCCGATAAAATAGCCCCAAAGCTTCAACCCTGGGCTGGCACTCCGCGGTTTTGAGGGGGCGGATACGGTTGCGATATCTCCTTATGTTAACAGATTCTTGATAACAGACGTCGCCTGCCCTAGCCTCCCCATACCATCTTTTCTCCAGTTTGTTTAGAAACATACCATTGAAAATATTATCACCTTCAACGCACGCGAGTTTCCACTCGCACAGGTTCCTCAATTATGTATGGCTTGCGTATCATCAAGATGACACTTGCTCAGTATCGCCTGCCGTTTCAGGACAGAACTTGATTTCGTGCCGACCATTGACCACTCTTCTCTCAAAGGGTCATACTTACCACTTAAATGTTTTAAGATGTTATTACAATTTTTTAGTCAGGTGTTCACCGTCACCTATATTCTCATACAAGTTCTTCTAATTGCTTTTCTTTTATTTCAAGGTAATTCTCCCCGAAGTTCAGTTAGTCAGAATTCCAATGGCTGCCATTCTGCACCATGCGAGAACCCAATTTCTCACGACCGAGAATGAGTTTACAGTTATAAAATATTGGCGGTGTTTACTTACATTTCTCTATCTTCTTTTCTAAAACTCTTGGCCGAAGTCACGTTCGCTACGTATTTTGGTCAATGAAGTCTTGCTTTGAGTACCTCAAGGTGACTCGTTGACAATTAGAAAAAAACAGAACTTCGAGGAGATTTCACTTTTTTTCAACAAAGAGCAGCAGTGGTTTTCCTAACCAGAACTTCGAGGAGAAGTCACATTTTTTCAACAAAGAGCAGCAATGGTTTTCCGAGCCAGGAAACAAAGAAGTTACAAGAACCTGTAGTAGAACATAGACTGAAGTGGACTGAAGTGCCTTCTGAAGTGTCCCGTGCGGTAAAATGGAATGTACTGGGTCCCATCAAGACTTCTGCATTCTGATGGGGTCACATCAAGTAATTCTCTCCTTTAAAGACGATCGCTTTCGTGCAGATTAGCTCAATGTTTCGATGCCAATAAAATTTTGATGCTGGGCTGAAGGTAGACAGATAAAACTTTGAAGAAGTTGGTATGTTGAAGTTTTAAAATAATCTTATTGGTATAAGACAACAGGGTAATATGTTACAGGCTATAGGAGTATTCTTTCAGATGGATTTCTGTATAATTTCAGATTGATATGGAGTTTAAAAGTTAGATTAGAATGAGTAAAATGGTGAAAATCCAAAAAACCGTATCACACGTGTAAAATTTAACCATATCCAAGGCCAAACATGAAGTGAAGTATCTTAAAAAAAAAACTGCAAAATGTACAAAGTATTTATATCTGCAGAAGCACACATTATTTAACACTTAAGTTGTGCAACTTGTTTCAATGTAAGAATTCTAGCACAGTTATGATAGTCCAAAAGCGGTTGATGTCATGTCTTTGAACATGACAAAGATGAGGTTTCTTAAAACTATCACTCTTAGTCACTTGGATTGAAATTCTTAAATATATCGCAGTATGCCAATTGTTAACTTCCAGTCGGAACCCTAAACCCATAATCCTCGTAAATAAAGCATGTAGCTTCTTGCGCATGGAAATTATGAGAGACAAGATTACATATGGTTGATCACTTCACCAAAATGAGTGTCATCGGCTTTAGTGCTTGACATCTTATACTATGGCAACAATGTATCCGGTTGCGAATGGAGAATTTTTATTTGCAAAAGATAATGAATGAAAAATTTGGAAAAACACTTCTAAGTGGTTAAAATTTTCAGATTTAAGATACGCAAACAAAAAAAAAATTGCTGACAATATCCATGAGGTGATGAAAATAATTTAAACTATTCACTGAAACTTAGAATCTTTATCTAATCTGATTTGAAAGGAAATTTATTTGATGAAAATATATTGTTAAGAAATAGAATATTCAATATAAAAAAACCTAGATATTTCAAGACTTAAGTACAATAATTCCTTCTAGTCTATTTTGAAATGAGTTAAAAACTATCCAATGTAGTGCATAAGCATCTTGATTACTTAGAAGCATCAAATTTTAAAACCATCTAGAAATAAATGAAAAAAATATATAGAAATTCTAAACATTTTGAATGTATTATTTCTTGCAAACCAATACATTCAACAATAAGTTAATCAATGATCAAAAAATATTTTAAGAAATGATAAAACTGTTATTTGAAATTCTTAAGCGAAATTTAAAAACAATCATATTCAATCAAAAAAAAATCTTCAATTTTAATATATTAAAATTTTATATTAATTATTTTAAACTAACTTATTTATATATGTTTTTTTGTTATAGAAGTACAAAATTACAAGCATTTACAACAAAATTGACACCAAAAATATGTAATTCATCTCAGCACGGATACTGCACATTGTACAAAATAATTTATTGAACATCTCATTTTAATTATGAAGCTTTGACTAACTTTTTTTTAATAATGCAAGTTAACTGAAGAAATCAATCATGGTTAAACTTAAAATGAATATCAATAAGAAAAGGCAATTTATCATCAAATTTTTTTTGGAAAAAATGAATTTTTCTTTTTCATTAACTTCAATTAGACATTTAGTTACTTAAAGTTTAAGACATGATGATAAAGCTATCCAAATAATCTTAAAACTGTAACATGTTAAATCTATTAAGCACATCATCTTGGATCTACTTGTTTCAATTTAATCGTACAGATTACTTGTTATAATATTTCGAATACAATATTTTTTTTCATGTATTTCATAATGAATGTAAATATCAAAGAATTCTTGCATTCTCTTACACCGAGTCATTTCTTTGTCAAAATGAACAATTTTAGACATAAATAATGAAACTAAGAATCCTATTTACTCACCTCTTTTGTACGCACAGACATATATACATGTACATGTATGTATGTTTGTATGTATGTATGTATATGCTTCTGCAAATGTATCAAAGTATATATTTGATTGTCTACGAGCTTGCTTTAACATTCATTTATGTATAAGACAATTCTATTATTTTCACTTTCCACATACAATAGTCTCCATAGTATATTACGATTTTATTAAGCAAACTGAATTGAGTTAAGCAAAATACAGCATGATTTTCTTACTAAATATATTGCTGTAATGTTTGACCCTATTTGTTCACGAATTGAGTTTCTCAGTGGGGACCGACTAACAAGTAAAGTCATAGATTCAGCAGTGTCCATGTGAAAAGAGAAGGACAAGAATACTGAAGTTAATCATCACCAGGATACAAAATTGTGTAAAAGCAACCTTTGTTTGTGTAACCGGAACCCACATTCTAGTTTCTGGACGATGCTCATTCATATTAAGGTAGAAACATCATCAAATTATCATGCTCTACCATTATGTCATACTATGAATGAGTCTCCGTGCTACAGTCGTTAAATCCGAGGAAGAACAGATGTTTCCACAATGATTGCAAAGGGTGCTGATGATCATTCTTTTTGTCGAATGCATCTACAGATGTTACCAGTGGAGAGCACTCTCACAGTTAGCACAACGTGGGTATCTCCACTGATGCAAAATTCCTGTTTGACAGTATACCTTTGATCAGATGAGTAAACCAGTGTTCGAAAAATTTGAGGATCAAAACATTCCTTGAAGAAAAATTACTCCAAGGAGAAAGACTAGTGAGTTGAAACTATTTCGATCAAAACTACCTCAGCAGCAATGATGCCTACACTCTTTCGAATGAGAGTGTTGATATCTTGATCCCCTTTCTATTGCTTTCAACAAAGTTTGTTGCTCCTGCCGCCGTATTTTCAAAGCCATCAACAACTCTTTCTTTGTTGGGCTGCTCTTTGACTGTACACTCTTTTGCCCTACCAATCCAAGACCGCCTAAACCTTTGGGTGTTTCTTCATCGAGTCCGTTGTGGTAGGTATCACTACCGAACTCACCAATTCGCATCCGGCATATCTCTGCCAAGAGAGCTGCTTCCGCAGGGAATAAGTGCTCTCCAAGAAACTGTACATTCGAGACGGTCTCAGTCTCAGCCTCATACAAAAATTTGTCCCGTCCACCAACTTCCAATCCATCGTGAACTTCTCCGGAACCGTTCTCCTGTCCTACACTAACGTCCGTAGGTTCCTGAGCTGCGACAGGTTCCTCTTGCTGTACTCCAGAGCCCAAACTTTGCTCAGGAACCGACATTCCACCATGTTCTAAACCATCACTTCTGACATCCTCGATGACTTTTCCATCTTCCATAACTGAACCGTTTTCCGCGTTGTCTACCTTTGACATCTGCAATTCTTCCTTCCCTGCCTCAAGTGCTTCTGTGATCAAGAACATCTAAATATAAGAGTTTAAACAAAGAAGAGCTGCGCATCATGACCTTCTAAGGCTGTATAAAGACTAGTGACTGAATGCAAGATCTATGAAAACACTGCAAATCTTTCAATCCTCAGTCTCTTGGGAGGTTAGCTCCAAATTCTTTACCAGGATCATCCCAGTAACTAACGATCAGAACAGGATTTCACAAGAAAAGACTCACCAGCAGTAGTCAAGGTATTGCCTGCCTCTGAAATAACTTTAACATCTGCTTGTTGAAGACCATTTCTTGCTTTCTCTTCAGCCTCACGAAGTGCAGCCTTATATTGTAGTATAGCTGCTGTTTCTTGAGCTCGTGATGCAATAGCGGCCCTCAAATTCTCAGTAACTACTGATTGATCTTGCATGATGGCAACTTTGATCCACGTTGCAAGCTCTGGAGATGGCGTTCCGTCATGGAATAGCTCCAACCATCCCGAAGCTGGTAATTCCAACCATTTAAGAAGGGCCACCTTCTTTTGATAAAGAGGATCAGTTGGATTAAGCTCTACAGGAACTCTGCATGGACATGATCATACACTTATTACAGTCTCTTTTTAAAACATGACACATTTGCAATGTTCTCCCAATCGAATGCGTCAAGATGCAAGATGGTAAAAGATATATCCATGCAGAGAAGTTCAATTCACGACGAATCCCTTACTTTATTCTGTCCTTCGTGTTATGGTCGGGCACGAATCCTGAATAGAGCAGTAGTGCAGAGTTCGGCCGATAACCATAAGAGATGTAAACCTACACCATTTTGAACAAACAATGAGAGCATGATCGCGAGAGAAGTTCAAAACTTTCTCAAGTAGGCGATATGTTGCAACTAAGAGGACCAGCGGAAAATGATCATTCTGTGAACAAGGGTGGGAAATTCTGCATTAAGTCCACTTCAGACAAGTCATACCTGCTCGCCCGCTTCAAAGCGTCTCTTGGCGGTCAACTCCATCTGTTGTTGGGTAACCGCAAAGTGGCAGGTGATCTCTCCCTCCTTCATATCAGGACCAAAACTGACATTAAGATGATGAATATCGTTCAAGATATTAATCTCCAAGGCTGAGAAAGTAGCTCAGAGTATTAATTTACACTGAAGCCTCACCTCATGATTGAACATGTCCAAGAAGGGAATAAGGGCCAAAGCCTGTCCCATCTCCATATCTGGCGTTCCGGGAATTGGGTTCTGTCTCGTCATTACAATCTGAAAAAAAAACCGGCAAAATAAAGGTGAAGACCTTTGATAAAAATGGGAGAATTCAACAATCGATATATATCTTCGAAAGAACATAACAAATAATTAAGTTCGACACTTGCAGTTTTTCCAGCAATCATAACTTCTTAAACTCGACTGGTTACATAAAAACTTCATAAATTAAGACATGTGAGTATCATTCAGTCTTCGAGACATTCTGAACATATAATGTTATTCATGAAGCGAAACTTGGTAACTACAAGCATAACTACATAAGACACTTTAAGATGTTGATCAATGAAAGGACACTCTTCTATATAATCATCTGTCCTGAGTTTAACACATGGTTCTTCCACAATACCTCAACAAACCCACAAAGCATATAACTGAAAATCTTACCGAAGCAGCCCAGCGAAATTCCGCCCAAGTGAACCAGGCATTCGCACGGTCAATGGCAGGGGATTGTCCCCTCAGCTTTCTCAACATTGAACGAACGTGTGCATATTGCCTTGCATAGTTTCTTACAGCTTTGTGCATCTCAACAAGCACCTATATAAAATCCAAAAAGAGTTTAGAGATAACGACCTTAGAGATAAGGGACTTCTCATGCCACTTCATGTATGTGTGCCACAAATATGGTGAAGACTTACTATGGCCTTGCAAAGAAGACATTGTCTAAATGAATGCAGATTAAATCATATTTTGTAAGCGTCTACGTCTTTTCAGACTCTTGACATTAACTTTTTTCAAAGTTCTGCTGTGACAAAGAACGTAGGGAAAACTTATTCCACTGTATAATCTTAAGTCTACCTCACGGCATTATCAGATGCCTTAACAAACGGAAAACCTCTAGTCAGATAAAGCTTACATTCTCTTGAACTGCGCTTAAGGAACTAGTATCCGTTCAATGAGGTAAGAGGTGAGGGAGAAGCGTTCCTATTGTAATTTGGAAATATACATTCATCCTTATATACCCCAAACTTTACGGTTGATTGCTTCTGGAGACAGGATTTCTATTAGAGATGACTAACAGACAAATCCAGAGAACTATTCTAAGTGAATTTTCAAGGGTACCCATACAAATGAATCATCTTCAAGGAGCTTTGAGTCTCCTCCAAAACTCATTAAAGAAACTCACCGCAGTGCCCTTCAGTGCCTCTATAGTCTCCAGACTGCAATGGAAGCACACAAATCAGGAGTGAGAAAGAAGACGAGAGTAGGTTCTAACTCGATTCTATTGAAGTTTGTCTACTCAACTGCCTTTAACTTGGACATTTGATTAGTAATTTGAAGAGATACTCTATATGTGAAGTGAAAGATACACCTGAATGCCAAAGGCATGACAAAGTTATCAGAAACTTCCGAGCTGTCATCCAAATGGGAGCCTTGACCAGGTAAAGATGAAATATATCCAGCCCAGTTGGAGGGATCCTCTGCTGGTCGATGCTGTTTTAGACAAGACATCACAAGTCATCAATAACAGAAAAAACTGTACTCATAAAGAATTTTCCTGACATAGCCTGAAGACCGTACATCACGTACTCTGCCTGAGCAATACCATCGGTAGCAGACGAGGGGAAGGAAAATAAGTTCAGATGATAGAAGAAAACTAGTTGTGAGTAAAGAGTGTTCCTATTGAAGGTTCCTGTTACTCTTCCCAGGTATGAGGTCCATTCCCAGTGTCAGGCACCCCTCAATAGCTCATCCCCCTGTAGTGTTTGTTCGGCAGGCAAGAACTCAGCTCAAAAGGACAACAGCACTGTGCTTCTAATCAAATTCAGGAATTCGGAGTATATTTAGGGAGCAACAAGGTGAGCAAGGTTGTGAGCCAATAACAGAAAGGAAGTGCATTGAAACTAAGACTCCACTTGAAACAAGACCATAGTGTACTCGTCCAATTGCCTAAAGAATCAACTCCACCTTCTCAAACAGTAAGTGTAGCGCGAGGATGAGTGTTGGCATTTGCCGCAGGATAGGATCTTCCTTGAAGAGGAGCCCCACGTCGTCCTACATTGCCATGCCAGAGTACACATTTGTAACCTGGTCAGAGTCAACCGACTGATGTTTGTATGCAAGATAAAAAATTAAATCTTGTTGCTTAACCTCTAGCGCAAACTATTTTTACGCCACGTCGAGAAACAACCACAACTACAAACAACTTCAAAGCTAACAATGACGGACCTACAAGGATATAATGGCCGGTAAATCACAAGACAATAAATAAGATTTTGAGATTCAGCAATCAGTCTATATAGTAGAAAATATTCACCTACCAGTGAGATCTTCAAAAAAGAGAACAATTTAATTGAACACCACCAAATCGAATTATATGAATATTTTTTGAGAAAATACCATATTTACTAGGCTTACCTTAGAGCGAATAGCAGTGGCAGTTGTCATCATCACATGGGCAGGCACTGTACATAGTAATTGCCCTTTTTCAAACGATTGCGTTGCAACAATTCCCGCACCTTCTTGGAGTCCACCTCCTAGCTTCAGTCCCTCTGACTGTATCCAAACAAGACTTCAGAAAATCTTCACCAGTCATCTTCACTAGCCAATCCGTAGAAAGACTAACTTTTTCAAGATACTAAGACTATTACATGGATTCATCATCACTGTCAAAGTTTGATAGCACCCTCTGACATATATACAAACAAAGAGCATATCGACTATGTGCCGTTCAGAATATAGCCAGTACAAATTCCTAATGGTGGAAGAAAATTTTAAGAACACATACCTGGACACCTTGCTGCTTCAACCATTCCTTTAAAACGTTCAGACGAGCAGATACATCATACCCGCTTTGCTGACTGACAAAAGGACGCTCCAGCTTTTGGATCTGAAAGCAAAGAAAAAAAATTGCTCGTTAAAATAACTAAAACAAGTTTATATATACTTCGATTGCTCATTCTTTTCACAAATAGATTCACTTTTCTGTATAATCAGTATACTACTCACTTGCATCAGCAGCCTGTGGATTGCCCTAATACTTTCTAGATGTTGACTCGGGCCACTCCCATCAATGGCCGACTGCGTGCGGCGCGCCAGATCATCCACCAGCCCATCCAGCGCTTGGACTGTACATCAGAGTGCCAAAATAAGGAAAATACAGGAAAATTTTGTCATTAACAAAGCATCAGGCAACCAAGACAATCGACAATGACACTAGATTTGCATGTGCTTCTCTCAGAAGCTAGATGAAGGAGGAGCACATGAGTAGATATGTTTTAAGTAACAGTAACGCTTATGCAACTTAGACTTGAAAGTAAGGATGAGTATGCAGAAAAGTAGAACGAAACTACACAATACTAGCATGACCTGTAAAGATACTGTATTGAAGAAAAGATCAAAGTTTATCGAGGCATCTCTTATACAAATAGGGACTCTCCGCACCTGCTTTGTCCTTCTTGCGCTTTTCTAACACTCGGGATGAGACAACATTTCCACTTGTTGCACGGCTTTTCTGACCCATGTTCACTTCCGAAACCAGGCCCTCCTGCTAATTCATCAGAAATAACATACATAAAGAGATATTCAAGCATCCCGTGACAGTAAATCTCACTCTTAAAACATCAGTGAGTTGGGACATGCTTACACGCTGGACATTCACAGCGTAATTCATGATTTTCGTATACTTTGCCATAAAATTTACACACAGAAATCGTTGCATGTAAACCAAACTGAGGCATGAAGTTGATTCAATTGAAACAAGAGAGACCCCAATCATGGAGGCCGTTCCTTGATATAATTAGAGTAAATTTTTGTGCGGAAAGAGCAGAAAACTGACAACTGTAAACCTTGTTATAATCACCAGAATCAGTCAACATTTAGATCCAAGAAAAAATGCCTTCTCAGTTCTGAAAAACACCTTGGGACGGTATCTTAGACCGTAGTAAGTATAATTTGGTGGTTATAGAACACTCCGCTTGTTCTCTTAAGATCTAAGGGCAAATAACATAACATGTAAGAAGAACGATTCAAGAAATATACGATGATTTAAATCGTAGGCAGGCACGTCACTTGTTGATACTTAAAGCGTTGAACTCTTCAGCTGCAGAAGGAAAGCTGGATGTATGATTCTTCTCCCAGCTGTCGCCAAATGGTCACAACAGCTGTCTTTTCTAAACCCAAGAAATTGAAAGGGTGGGGGAGGTATTATGGTTAAAATCACGGGGGAATGACGACCAAAATTTACATAATTGATATGAGTGACACGAGAACTGCATGAGGCACCACAAAAATAATGGAGGAAAACTTGCTGCAACTGCACACCATAAGCATGGGTATAGACATCCGATCCACTCTCAGAAACCAAAATGTTCCCTTTACCTCTGTCTATGCGGTAAAAAAGATCATGGTACAATGTAATAAGCAAAACAGTACTTTGTAGAACCTCTGAATTCTCAGTAGCTCCCTACTTAAACTCATACTTCCATCCCATTCGTATATCTCCCTCTCTGTTCCTTCTTCGGATAAACGAATGCGATTGCCGCCTCTTTCTCTTTCACTCCTGATCTTGATTATTTTCTTTCCAATGACAGACTGGATGATGCACACTTCAACAAAGGTCCACTTTGGGGAATCACTGACCTATCCAATTTGTACGCTCCGAGAACACTCACCTGAATAGCAGATCGGAAGTAGAAGCAGAATCAGCTTGGCTTTTCAGCTTCGCACTCGCTGAGCCCAGCGCTCGCGCTGTTGCTCCACTTCTCTTAACTTCCTTCCTCCTCGTCTAACTCAAGTCTCTGTCGCTCGCTCCTGCGAAACTCTACCATCCAAAAACTATTGCCTACGATGGATCGATTGATGGATGCTGCAAAATGGCAAGCACAACCTGCGCGAACCAACCAACCGGACCAAGCTAACCTGGGCAGTCCAGAATCTAGATTCCCGAATCCCAATTAACTAATGTACTGCCCTCATCGCCTCCCCTTCATCATCCTCATCCTCTCGAACTGTCTGTCAATTTGCCTCTTTATCCGGCTGTCTTGATTAATTCTCCCTCAGCACAGCTGCATTGCTCCTCTCTCTCTCTCTCCCTCCGCACACTCTCCATGCGCTCTGCTCGGCTCTTGCTCATCTTCCTGCCTGCCTGCACTTTCTTCCCCCAAAGGCGGGCCGGGTTGTCGCCTGCACTTCCGGCTCTTGCAGCGACAACCCGGCCCTTCTCGGCTGTTGCGATATTGACCGCCCTCGCCAGGAACGGGGTACCGGGGCTCCAAACCCGTGAATCCTCTAACCGGGGAAGTTTCGATGCTGTACTCCAGTAAGTAGTAGATCCATTCGGTATGAATGAGTGTCTGCGCGGGTCACAGAAGTTACGCTTCCGTCCTCACTTGTAAGTTGTCGAATACGGTACGCATCCATGCACTCTCGGGCAACGTGCTGATAGGCGTGCATGCGAACTCCACTTACGGGCGAACGAATAAGCGCGCAGCCAGTAAGGATTCAGGCGGTAAGTTTATCAGATTCTTCCGCAACTTGAGACAAAAGTTGAGATAACTCCATCAATATCCCATTACAGTATAGTTGCTATAGCGTATGTCAAATGTATTCTTCAGAGTAAAATACCTTTACTTGGAGAAACAGAATCTGTAACTATCAAAACAATTAGAAAAGGGCCATAACTCTATCCGAATCCGATGAGTATATTCATAGATACTCCAACTAGGAGAACAAGTACAAAGACTTTCCAACATAATTCTCTTGTCAAGGATAGATTATCCGATTGTGTAAACCACAAATTTGATTTTATCTAAAACTGGCATTCCTGATATTCAACGAATGTTGTTAATCAGACCCAAAAAATGAAGAGAATTCATCCCGATCTATTCTTATATGTAATATAAACCTTTCTTTATTTTTTGGTTTTGTAATTATGTTAGATCTTGAAAATATAAATATATACATTGTATCAAAAAACACACTCATTTCGCATAGAGTATTACAATATATAAAGTGATATAATCAACACAAGTGACATTAACTTATGTAAATGCACATAAAAGGACTAATCTACATAGTAGATTAACTCAATATTTCAAATTGCACTAGTTTCCGTGTATTGTTGATAGTGCATCGGTGTAGCAACACATCTAGAGAATCGGTTGCTCAAGTAATGAGATCCAGAGTTTAGCTTTTGAAATGACAGTGGTTGATGTTAAAACTTGGAGCTCGAAAATATGATGACAATTCATGAAAATGTGTTTCTTACTTAATTGGAATTTATTTTCTTCATCTGATAATGAGAAAATTATTTTATTGATTAAAACTGTCATATGAGAAAAACTTACATAATCCAAAATCAAAAAGGTCTCTATTTTTTAATGTGCATAAATAGGTATTTACATTCATAATCAATGTCAGTTGGCATTCAACACTTCATTTTACAAATGTAATCTAACATCAATATAATTTCATTCATATCTTAGCTTAATCTCAAGTCATTCATAATCTCATTGTGTAAAATATCAAAATGTTGAAATTATGTCTTAAAATATTTTTATGATTTTTAAAATCCAAAAAATTACCATAGGTTTTGATTAATATTTAAAAAAATACATCTAAATATTATGATTATTCAATTTAAATTAATTTACTGTGAATGATATCAAATTCAAGGTAATCAAACTTCATCTTGTCAATGTGATGTTTATTTGAAATTTGAATTAATTCATGTGCATCATTCACAATCATCTTTATAATGGGTAAATCATAATCATTTAGTGATCAAAGTTCATTTTAAATAGATCAAATTTTTTTAAAATGATTTCAACATGCATTTTTTACATATCAAACAAGCATGTATTGCATATCATTGTCCATTCAATCTTATAAAACATGGAATAAGAATATGTCTCGAAAATAAATGTCATCTTTAAAATCATATGTGATAAAAAATTGATCACAAGGAAAGTCAAAAAGATACATACACATTGAGAATATAGTACACAAGAATGCACATGCATTATTGACACAAGATCATGCACATAAAAAAACTACAATTTTAATGTAAAATCCTAATATATATTTTCAAGAGTTTTTGTGAGTTTTCATTTATAGTGCCAGTTGATCAACTTCACAAATCAAGGTCAAAATAACCTGAATTAACATGAGTTAATTTATAAAATTGATCTCTTTAACTCATGTCGTGTTGTTGAGATCTTAAGCTTCATAATTTATATAATTGATAAACACAAATCTATAGATTAACACATAATGTATATTACTTATTAGACTATAGCTAATTAAAAATAAGTTAAAGCAGTAAAAAAATATAATTCTATTAAAATTGCTAGTAAAACTTTACTTGTGCCACTCATGCAAAACTTGCAAAGTAACAAAATATATTCTAAAAAATAACTCTGATCAACACATGAACTAGATTTAGCTTACTTATTGATTTTGACCAGCTCACTTTTTTTTATCTTCACTTGATTTGCAAAAGAATGTAACGCACTTCGACGATCACATGATTGATGACATTTTTTTCCTATTTTTTCATTATTCAAAATTGAATAATGAAGAGTTTAAAATATGTTGTGAAAAAACTTCGTGTTTAGTTCGAATATACCAAGTTTAATATCTTAGATGTAGAAATTGCTTCAAATTAAACATATCATATTCATCTTTAAAATTCCATAAATTTTTTTAAATATGCTTTGAATGTATTAAAATTCCACACATTTGATGCATATATAAAATAATTTTTGCATATTTTATTTTATAATTATTTTTTTGTTAACACTTAAACTACTAGAATAATGAGATTAAAAAGTTCATTGTTTGACTCTTTTATATATACACATAGATTATGCATACTCTTGAAAATATACGTACAATTATAAATTTAACAAAATTTGCATTCTAATACTTAGCAATATGCTTCAATTTGCTACAATTTGTACAATGAGCGTAAAAATTTACAAATCAACTTTTTTTAACCTTAGTTATTTCATGTAAATTTTTTCCTTCAATTTTACAAAATAATGAAATAATTTCATCCAACTGATTCATAATTCCAATACACATTGCAATAAATGTGCATACTAATTGAATTGTAGCATATTTTGTTGAATGTGATAAAAATTTGTTATATTTCACACCTTTCTCTCATATGAAATTTCTAGCCATCAATGTGACTCTAACATTTTTTTCCTTATCATCTATTAGATTACTTTGTAGCTTGTAGACTCACTTGTTATCAATCAAGCTTTAACTTTTTTACAACTCAAATAGTTTTTATGTCTTGTTATCAATCAAAAAATGCATTTCACGTTTCAAAATTTTATTCATTCAAGATTAGTGACACAAACTTGAATTTGTATATAAATATACGCCAATTTTAAAACGACAACATCTAATGTTAAAACAATCACAGACGCATCACCTGTCAAAAGAAATAATGATGTGGATGCCAAGGAAGTTGCCGAATGCAAGAAGGGCGATCAAGTCCTTTGACAAGACCTTAAAAGCGTAATATGGATTGTTCTTGTGGTATTTGATGTCCCTGGTAGCAAGGAGGTTAAAGATGTACTCCAGAATGAACTTGCGAGAGAGCTGATCAGTCCTTTGTTGCAGGTAGTGATGAGTCCGTTTTTTATTAAAAAAATAATTTATACATTTACATCGTCTTAAAAACGTATGACATTAAGACAATTTTTAATTAGGATGTCTTTTATCCGTGGACAGTCAAACTGTGATGTGTAAGTTTAGTTTAGAAGGTAGTGAAGTATAGTCAACTCTAATGTGTAAGTTCAGTATAGAAGTTAGTGAAGGATGGCCATATCAACGAAGGTGGACAGATCAAAGTTTGATTAGTTGAGAGAATTGGAGATTTATGCAAGAATATTGTTGACTTTGTTGCATTTCACAACAAAGTAAAGTAGAAATCATGAAATTGATAGATCTGAAATTGCGAGGTTCAGTCAAATGAATTGCACTCACTTGCTGCAAGGGAGTATGTCATACATCTGTGCTTGCTTGGAGCAGTGATGCTTATATTTCTATTACATTTGGACTTTTGTTCTAGAATATCATCGTAATTTTACTTTCCAGTGAAAAATCTCAGAGTAAAAATTTCTTTAAAGCAAAAAAATAAAACTATAGACTCAACACATTCAATTTGCAAGGATCAGACAAATCCAAACGATCAATTTGATGAAAATTGAAAATTTATATGAAAAGCCTACCGATCACACAATTCTAAATGATGAAAGAAAACAATGAATCTGAACTCTCACTCTCTAAGAATACCATCAGTTTGAAGAGAATTGGAGATTTATGTAAAAAGCATGCCGATCAAACATTTTTAAATGATGAAAGAGAATGATGAATCCGAACTTTCACTCTCTAAGAACACCATCAATTTGAAGAGAATTGAAAAGTCTGTAAACTCATCAATATGTCACAACAAAGTACAGTAGTAATCGATCATGAGATTTAATCAAATGGATCACAATTGTATGTCATATCGAAGTAAAGTAGTAATCGATCATAAAGTTCACTCAAATGAATCACAACATCAATTCAACATCGAATCCTCAGATCAAGGCAAGTTGCATACCTCAAGTTTTTAAGAGAAAATCCCAAGATGACAAAATCTTCAATGAGATGCAAAATAATAATAATATTGACGTGCAATGTCTCAAATGTAATTTCTTACTTCAATTGAGTCCAACAAACTACATGAACTACGAATGAACTCAATTTCAATTCTATCCTAGAATTCTCATAAATCATCTTCATTATCTCTAAAAATAATGGAATGAATGATCTCCTCGAATGATACATCTGCTAGTAGAACACTTAATAAATCCAACTATTCAATCATTTTGAGTTCGTTAAGAAGATAAAACACTGAGTCTTGAAATTCATCATTTTTCTCTAACATTTTTTCATTCATCTCATCCTGTCACAGCCACATGTCAACCATACCTGCCGCTATGATCACCAATTCATCCTAGTATGGCTTCGGCATCAATGATGGATCTTGATTCTTGCATAAAGTTACGATGTGCTATTCAAAAGATTGTCATTTGGTATTCAATATCATCTTATTAATCAAAGAGCTATGAGTCATAGCAACTTGCCTCTGAACCTTGCCAGAGCTTATGCAATTACGT